TCCAAGATTTTTACTTCAAGAAAATATTCATTCAAAAATATACGATATTGCCAATAATGCGATTGTTATTATTTTCTTTAGACTTCAGTTTCTTGCTTTAAAAAATTCTCAAATTTGTTATCCATAGAAAATGTATTTCTAAAACTAACTAAAATGATCCGTTGCACTGATTGCAAACTTTTAAACTAACGTAAAAGTGTAAATTCGTAAAATACAGAAGAAAGATGACAACCAACCATTTAGTTGTTTCTAATTATCACTGAAGCTAAAGCCATTAAATTTAAAACGGTAATGGTGACATCTCTTTACCATAAACTTGAAGTTTCTTTGTTGATTTTTATCCAACGAGGTTATTGTATATAGAGTTGTTGACTTTAAAAGTCACTATAATAAAATAAAAGAGATCCAAATGGATATTTCTAGCATTTATTTAAAAAAAAAAACGAAAGTTTTGAAATATTTTCCCAAGTATGGGTTAAAATTGGTTGGTTTAGAAATTAACAAAGGAATTAATGATGAACATTTGAGGGTACTTCGATCATGGGAGTGATGTAGAGCTTCATGTTGGTGGAGCAGATCAACAGGAACGGCGCACTGAGTATCTGCGTCATCATCATAAAGGAGTCATGGGGGTGATGTAGAGCTTCATGTTGGTGGAGCAGATCAACAGGAACGGCGCGCTGAGTATCTGCGTCATCATCATAAAGGAGTCAAGAGGCTCCCTGTGTCGGAGCTGTTACCAGCTCAACTCTCCAAACCTGACTGCGCTGGGATGTTTTATAGAGGGGTGAGGCGAGAACGGATGAGCGGGGTTTGACATGTGGGTGCTACATGGAGGAAATGGATAAACAAGTCTTGAGAAAAGGCTACAGCATTTGAGTCGGTAAAATCGTCTTCCTTATATTTCGAATTTGTGTTAACATTACTCCCTACTGGGGGTTAAATTAAAAAGGGATTTTAATTTAACAAAGATTAAAACAAATTCGAAATTTTAAAATCCAACCAACCAAGATATAACCCGCCTGGATTCCCATATTTCAAAATGTTGACTTTAAAAGTCACTATAATAAAATAAAAGAGATCCAAATGGATATTTCTAACATTTATTTTAAAAATACGAAAGTTTTGAAATATTTTCCCAAGTATGGGTTAAAATTGGTTGGTTTAGAAATTGACAAAGGAATTAATGATGAATATTTGAGGGTACTTCATGGGAATGATGTAGAGCTTCATGTTGGTGGAGCAGATCAACAGGAACGCCGCGCTGAGTATCTGCGTCAACATCATAAAGGAGTCAAGAGGCTCCCTGTGTCGGAGCTGTTACCAGCTCAACTCTCCAAACCTGACTGCTCTGGGATGTGTTATAGAGGGGTGAGGCGGGAACGGATGAGCGGGGTTTGACATGTGGGTGCTACATGGAGGAAATGGATAAACACGTCTTGAGAAAAGGCTACGGCATTTGAGTCGGTAAAATCGTCTTCCTTATATTTCGAATTTGTGTTAACAAGAGTGATGATGTAGGCTAATCTTTTACTAATTGTACTGGCCATGTACTTCACTTCCAAAGGTCAATCTGTAAATTACAGTACTCAGGGGTGATTTCTGAAAATATTTAAATGATGAATTTGTTTTCCATTTAACTATTAAAATTCACTACTCCTTTATCGTGTGCAGGATTCCATTTTCACAGGAAAACGTACATCATACATCCTTTTACAGAGAAATATTTCATCGCTAATTATAATTTTTCTGATAAAACTGAGTAAAATTCAAGATAAAAAACCTCCCCATACACTTGTACTCCGAAAGCTTACTGCATATTCGATGTTTGTACTGTATGAATAGGTCATAATATCTTAATATCCTTTATCAGTAAACTATCCTAAGTGTACACTCAGGCTAATACGCATGGAGAGGTAGATAAAATCCAGCCCCCCTGTTTTTATCTGATGAATAAAGAAATAAAAAACAAATGGTCCTTAAAATCGCTTTATTCTTTTTTCATAAAAAATAAATATCTTTAGCTATTTACAAATAAAAAACATATACAATAATATAATTTAAAGGGATTGTAAGCGTAATTTCAAGTGATCCTCCGTGCAAATATGACAACATACGCGGTATCCTTAAAACATATATGTGATCAATATTGGGGAAGATATTTTCGTTTTTTTCTAGGTTTAGTGTTACGTTCAAATAATTTCTACACGTTTTCATGCAGTAGAGAGGCGCAAGTTATTTTTTTAGAGAAACTCCAATTGAAAATCATCAGATGTAAAATCATAAACATCTTATTCATACTTGATCAGACAAAACTTTTAAAAGTACTATACTGTTGTGAATCGGGCATTGCCATCTTTGCCTGGAGGGCCACTTGAAATAACGCTTACAGTCCCTTTGAGGAGAGCTTTTACGATTTTTTCTCTTTTATTTCAGTTTTACTAAAATCTAGATACATGATAAGTAATGGAAGCTAAAAATGAAAAATGTTGCCGGGTAGCGCCATGAATTTTTATATTTTGGTAAAGTGTATGTATCCGGGTTGTAAACAATAGTGCGTGTTCAGGTTAGTCTTATAATCTATGCAAATCTCCTTGAGAATTGTATCTCCGTCATCCTTCAGGGTTCAGAGAATTCATCTTTACTCCAAAAACCTTCAATATACGTTGCTCCCGAAGAGAGCTGAGAGCAAACAGAGCAATCTCTCAACTTAATATATTTCTAGTTAAACCAGGGGAATATATTCCCGGTTAAAATATATTCCTGGTTAATACAGGGGAATATGTCCTTAGTTAAACCAGGGGATTCCTGGCTAAATCAGAGAAGTGATGGTTAAACCAGGGGAAACTTTCCTGGTTAGAACAGGCGTTAATACATACCTGGTTAGAAAAGGGGAATACATACTTGGTTAGATCAGCGGAATACATACCTGGTTAGAACAGGGGAATATATTCCTGGCTAAACCAGGGGAATATATTCCTGATTAGAACAGGGGAATATCTTTCTGGTTAAACCAGGGGAATATATTCCTGGTTAGAACAGGGGAATATAATTCTATTTAAGCCACGGGAATGTATTTCTGGTAAGAACAAGGGAATTTAATCCTGGATAAACCACGGGACTGTATTCCTAGTTAGAACAGGGAAATATATTACTGGTTATAGAGCAGGGGAATATATTCCTATAGGTACGTGTGTCATAAAAAATTAAAGCTTTTATAACTACAGGGTTGCTCAATAACATACTCATTGGACGATTTAAAGTCATAACAGTCTTATAAAAGTCGTCTTTCTATTTCAGAGATAACTGGTTATCACTGAAAATAAATTTCTTGTTAAAACTTAAATTTTTTATCTCAAATTAGGCTTTTAGGGCGCTTCGCACCCATCTTCTATTTAAATTGTGAACATGTTTTTTTTGTTTACATTTTAAAACAAAGAAGAAAAAAATTTCGCGGATTTTTAAAAAAAAGTCCTCGGATTTTCAAGAATTTAAATTCTTTTTAAAAAATTAAAAACCTTTAAAACACATTTTTTTTAATATTTATCATTCGTAAACCTTCCTTGTGGTCACATGATGTCCCACAAAAAATTGGGCCTGATCGGTTCAGCCGTTTTGACGTTTATTGGTTACAAACAAATTCAGACAGACAGACAAAGAGACAGACAAGCCAAATTTATATATAGATAAGGGTCAAAGGTATTTAAAGGTAGGGGGGGGGGGTTAAAGATCAACAATGTGAGGGTTAAGTTTTAATATATTGTCTTACGTAAAAAATCGGCTCGCTACGCACGCAAATCGTAAACATTTACCCTCCCCCAAGGAAGCCCTGAAGTACGTTCCCGCCCATAAATGGTGAATCTTAAGAGACGAATACAAAATATACTTTAAACCAATTCTTACATTATGGTTCCATGCGACAATTCAGTTTATTCCTTATTCAACTCCTTTGTATTTAAACGCTTTATTCAAGAAATTCAAGGCAGAATAATAAAATATAAAGCTTCATTATCGATAAGTACATTTACATAAACATACAATAATGCATTTCAGGTCGTCACTTAAGTCTCATACTTCATGAGTAACTCTGTATATTATATTTTTCCAAACCAAATAAAATCAGTAGACAGTGTACTGTGTCGGAAAACAGGGATATCTAACCCCATTTAAAAATATTTCTCTCTAAGTCTAAAATATAAATTTATTAACAAAAAAGCTGAAAACTTATGGTAACAATTGTAACAGTTATAAGTATCCCTGGGCCTAAAAGTAGAGTGTACATTTTTACATCATCTGTCTTTTTCAATTACTATCCGTTAAAAAACAATATTGCGTTATACTCAAGTCTACGATGCGTAAATTACGCACTGAATCATTTGTTTTCCTCTGACGTGTCTTTAACAATAAATATCTAAATAATTGTGATAAAAGTTTTTAATAAAAATCGTATACTAGGACAGGACCCTCTATGTCCTAAAGAACGATTTTTAGATTTTTTGATTTAGTTTAACTTTTTTTCTTTGTATATACATTGTTAAACAAACACAACAAAAAAGTTCGCGGATTTTATAAAAAAAATCATAGATTTTTTAAAGATTTAATGAAAATCAAATTTTGTTGGAAGCTTATTTTTGAATTTTTGATCGTCCATTCCCTGGGTTCATGTGAGGTGGGCCCGATCTGTTCATCCGTTTTGACGTTAATTGGACAGACAAGTTTATCATGTTAATATCTGAAAAAAGAAGATAATATGTGTTTCCATATTTTTCTCTAAATTATCTTTTTATATAAAGTTGTAATCTCAGTTTGTTTGTCCGATCTGAACTCAGGAACCCGTGGACCGATTTGCCTCAAATTTTGATTGGGGAATTTGTTTTTAGCTAGGTTTTGAAATTAAGCGGGTCGACTTTAATAGCGAAAATTTAGCGCTGGGTTCCCTGCTTGTTCATTATAAAACATTAGGATAAATATGCTTTTTCATGCATTTTTTGGTATATACATTGTACTGAAATATATTTATATTTTCAGACATCAATGTAATGTATACACTACTGCATGGTTTATATAAACATGTTACACAAAAAGACGAATTCTTCGTTCTCATCCTTGGTCTCGACAATGCGGGGAAGACGACGTTTTTGGAATCGGCCAAAACCAGGGACGAAAAATACAAAAATCCGCAAGATTTGTCCAATGTCATTTTTTAAAGTCTCAGCTGATCATTTTAACATTCTTTTTTCTTCTTAACAGTTTTTTTTCAAAATATTTTTCTCCTTAAGGTTTGTGAAGAACTACAAGGGAGTGAACTTGTCTAAAATTACGACCACAGTCGGACTAAACATTGGGAAGATTGATACTAATGGAGTTCGGTTAAACTTTTGGGATTTAGGAGGACAAGAAGAGCTACAGGCACTCTGGGATAAATATTATCAGGTAATTAACTGCTAATCATTGTTAATTAATTAACGGCTAATCACGTTTTATCAATTAACGGCTAATCACGGTTAATCAATTAGCTGCTAATTGCTGTTCCATGATTAACGGCTAATTACTGTTAAGTTTGATAAACAGCTAGTCACAGCTAATTAACGGTTAATTACGGTTAATCATGGTCAATTAATAAATGCAAACCACGATTAATTAAATAAAGATGATTATTAATTAAAGAATAATTATTTCACTCGTTTTTTGAAAATCAAAAAGATCTAAGAGTGGGTCAAATAAAGATGCCTTTTAAACAATTATCTATTAAACGTTTTAACACTATGATCCGAAACCGCACAAAATGTAATGAAATATTCACGAGCTGGAACCGGATCTATTTTTAGCCGGATTCGCATCATAATCAAATGGAATCTAAGCTCTATGCTCTTAAACTATTAAAAAGAATTTCTTTTGTAAATTGAAAACCTAGAATCCTATTCAAATAGATCTAATTTTCTAATCCCATGTTTTATTCAGGAATGCCACGCTGTGATATATGTAGTGGATACAGGAGATAGGTTAGTACTGGCTTTATTGTCTGGAAAATTTTCTTGAAAAATCATTTCCCCTTCTCTCAAAATAATTGGATAAATTAAATGATTTTTTAGAGGAAAATAATACATTTTTGGATAAAAGGTCCTTTTTTCCAGAAAGGTATATAAAAAGCTGAGTAAACTTGAATCACATGTCCAAATTTTCAGATTTTCCCCTTGATCATCAAAAATCAATTTTTATCATGTAATCCCATCACTTTAACTATCTATAAGACTGTTAATTTGGTTCGCAGTGTTAAAGTTTTTGGACAGAAATTTTCTCTTTATCGAGAAGGTTCAAGCCATTTTAGATTTAATTTTGTCCCGAGCTATAGCTAGGGGCAAAATATTATCTTAAAAGGCGAAAACCTTCCTTTTTAAAATGAATTAGTTTATATATTTGTAGGGAAAGAATAGGAGAATCTAAAGAATCTTTTATAAAGATGATAAAGAATGAGAACACTAGAGGGGTTCCTCTTCTAGTGGCCGCCAATAAACAAGGTAAAGAAAAAACTTACTGAAAAATACTTGAAGTCAATTTAATTAGAGCAAAATAAATAGACAAATAAATTTTGAAAGTGGATTATTTGTTAGATATTTAAGGAAAAAAGCAGTGCTTAGGATTCATTTAATTTTGATGCGGATCTGGATCCTGGATCCGCACCGGAAAAAATGGATTTGGATCCGGGTCCGGATCCAGGTCATTTCTTTACTGATTTACTTAATTTTTTTAACAAAAAATAATTTTCAAATTTTTTGTTTCATTTTTTTCGTATATTTTTATCCTAAAACTTGATGAACCAGTTAGAAATGCGGAAATTTTTAAAACCTCTCTTTTTCAAAAGGTCAGATTTAGGTTTCAGGAGTAAAAAAGTTTTTTTGCAGTTTTTGGTTGATATTTTACCTTTTGGATTCGGATCCGTGGATCCGCATATTTTTGCGGATCCGGATCCTAAGCACTGTTAAAAAGAAAAATAGAAATAAGAAAAAATAAAACATGAAAATATACCAAAATACTGTTCACTCATGTTATGCTAATAAAAAAGATAATTACATGTATAAAATTGTAAATTATGGAAAAAGTGGTTGGTGGTAAAATCTTTTTGTGTTCTTGTTGTTGTAGCCAATCATCGGATTTTTGTATATCTTCATGAAGTTCCTTTTCAATCATTGGATTTTTGTATCTCTTCTAGTAGTTCCTTTTTAATCATCGGATTTTCGTATATTTTCTAGTGGTTTCTTTCCAATCATCGGATTTTTGTATCTCTTCCAGTAGTTCCTTTTCAATCATTGGATTTTTGTATATCTTCATGTAGTTCCTTTTTAATCATCGGATTTTTGTATATCTTCATGTAGTTTCTTTTGTGGGTTCTCTCAGAGACTGATTATGAAAATAGGGATATGAGGTTGGGACTTGGTTTGGTTTAAATAGATTATCAAGTTCAATAGGTGGCAACAGATAAATAGACAAATTTTACTCGACGTCACAAGTGTCAAATATAACAAGGAAAACGAAATTTTCTCATATTTGTTGAAATGTTTTCCAAGAAAAAAATCAAAAAGTGTAAAAACAGAAAATAACGAAAACATAAAATTGCACTTATTTTACTATAAGATAAGCACTTTATTCTAAAATTATCATTATTATTAATAATTTGTCGGACACAAAAAATGAATAGACACTTGTGACGTCAGAATACAGCTGTACTGAGAGGTTAAAAATTCTACGTTGCCATCTATGTACTAGAATCTATTTGGTTTGGTTGAAATTTAGAGTAACATTCCGATTGGATAGAGAATATCTTATCAAATATTAATTAATGAAATAAAATGTTTAAAAAGGAATCAAAACAAACCAAATAAAAACAATTTGTTTAGATCTAGAGGAATGTATGGGAGTGCGTGAGGTGAAACCATTGTTTGAATCAAATGTTGATCACGTTGGAACAAGGTGAGAACAATTTTTTCAATCTGAAATAATCGGGATAGGGTCTTGATGGAACTAGTTTAATCAAAACAAAAACAAATATTGTAAATAAAGGTAGGAATTTGTCTGGGCAGGGTAATTAGTCCGGGCTGTTGTTAATTTAACCCCCCCCCCCCCTTTCGAAAATAATTTATTCCACCATAAGTTATACAATATACATATTTGAGAAATTTTTCGCTGAATTGGGAAAAATAAATAATTTTTAGGTGAAAATAAATAAATTGTTGGGTAAAAGAATGAAAAAGCTTGCTTTTTGATTTTAAATTTTTTTTTTTTTTTTTTTCCCAAATCACCGAAAATCATTTTTCTGAAAAATATACACCCCTGCCTGTTCCACTAAAATGTACACCAACGCTATCCCTCTCACCTATTGTGTACAGTATATACACACCTCCGGATAATCGGATATATGTATATATACAGGGTGAGTCAATAAATCAGGGATAATCAATGTTTTGGACATTATTTTTCAAAAAATTTAGTTTTGTTCGGATTTTAGGCTTAAATAAAATGATATATAATATAAAAATTCAAAAATTTGTTGGAACATTGAAAGAAAAAAACCGCGAAACCAATTTTTTTTTGAGGTCATAATTTGATAACATTTACTGCAAATTTCCATTCGAAATTTTTGGAGATTTTTTACGAAAGTATGGAAAACAATTAATTTACATTTTCCCAACAATTAAAAAAAAATCATTTTTAAAAAAAATTGGTTTCTTGGATTTTTATTTTCAATGTTCCAAAAAAAATTTGAACATTTTGTCCAAAACATCGATAAGCCCTGTTTTTTTGACTCACCCTGTAGTGTATATATTTGTATTTTTGTAGGGAGGTAATGGTATTAGCTACCTCAGGATTAACTGGCGAGGGAGTCGTGGAAGGGATTGACTGGGTCGCGCAGTGCGTTGTCAGAAATATGCACGCTAGGCAGAAAACTTTATCTGAAAAAAATCTTATTTTATCATGTTTTTGATGTTCAAATGGTCAATTTTTACTCCGGACTGACAAATATAAAAGTTTAATGAAGATTATTCAATTTATCCTTGATGAGAATGTTTTCTCTGATTCTGCAGGCCCCCTCACGACAAGGAGAAGAGCTAAAAACCAGCGGATTGATTTATTGATTGATACTAAGGACGGAGAAGTCCTAGTTGCACTGAATGCTCACAGCACAGGCGTGAATACTGAATATCGAACCACCGGTTCATCTTTGTCAAATATCACGTAAAATAATCTGCCCAAAATATTTATTTTAAATCATAAAAAATGTGCGGAAATAATGGCAAAAAAAAAGCTAACCAAGCATTTAGTTTGAAAGTTCAATTTATTTATGTTGTGCCAACTTTTGTGCGTTCTTCATTTTATGGTTGACCCCCCCCCCCCCGGGGGGTCAACCAATTGTTTGCAAAATAAAATGAATTTTTATTCCCCAAAGCACCTTGCCACTTTATCTGCACGCACTCTATTGTTTGTTTTTTAAATCTGTGATAAACTTGGTGTTTTGGTATTTTCATGTACGTTCTTCCATTTTTTGGAGTCAATGAGACGGTTGCGACTTAAGCTATAAAATCTTCAAAACACGGTTCTGAAATAATGATAATAATGTTGAATCTGGGACCAAATTTTATCAATATAGAAAAGTAGTTTAGCCGCGTTTAGTAGTTTAGCCACTTCTTTTGTGCGCCGGTTCAAGTTTTGAAGAAGTGGTTTAACTTTGTCTCCACGGTTCATCTACTTCAGACTATTAATTAAATCTGATCCTTAACTTACTTCTTTACCTTGCTTGCGTAATGTTAAAGACTCTTTTTAATTCTACAATGAAAGCTATAAACGATAGATGAGTTATAATAAATTTTTATAAACCAAAATCAATTTATTAAGTTTTAAAAAAGCTAAAATGAATTTATTTTTTGTCTTTATTGGTTAGATTGATATTTCCAGTATTAAGGTTTCCCTTACACTTGAAGAACATATGTTTATTGTTATGATATTTGATAATTATGATATATTTAAAATAGTTAAAAGATAATAATTTCAGATTTAAAATGGAGGAAGATCCCGTTTTAACCAATTTAAAGATATTGATAATCGGTAGGATTTTTTAAAGATGTTTTTTCTCGTGATAAAATCGATCTAGGATATAATTCACAACATCCTAGGCGTAATTTCAAGTGATGATTTATTTGAAGATGGGCATTTCCAAATTAAAACGGACCCTTTAATCTTTATCTGATAAATAGTTCTGACGATATTGTGAATTTCTATCTTAAAACGTGTATAATTCTGAACGTTTTCTTCATTGTTTCTGAAACAGAACTCCGGAAGTAACATTTAAAGAGAACCCACATTATAAAATTATCAATTTACAAAGTTAAAAACACGGATATCTCATTCTTCTTGATCATAAATAGCTTTGAAGGGTATCGTTGTAAATCGGACAAACCACTAAATTAATGACGGGTCACTTTAAACTACATCCTTCCTACAGTCGCCCTTAAATAACAGAACGTTAGATAAAAATAAGGTTATAATGCAAGGAAAGTTAATTGCAGTTGCGTAAACTCTCCGTACATATTGAAACCAGTTCTCTCTGGGCGGAATAGATGCATCAGTGTTCGTTTAGTATCCGAGGAGGTTAAAAACATTAAATTTTGATAATTTTGATAATTCACATAATTGTTTCCTACGGCCAAAATATTTCATTGATTTTTTATGTGAAAGAGGATTCCATGTCAGGCTTCGACATCCGTCTTGTGTTTACATTACCGCTCAGAGACAGTACACAGTGGTACAAAAGATGCGTACACCTCTGAAATAACTTTCCTTGCATTATAACCTTGCATACAAAGACGAGAACTACACAGATGTTGCAAGATTTAAATTTCTTAATTTCAGGAGAAAGTGGTGTTGGAAAATCTAGTCTGCTTCTCAGGTTCGTCACTATTTTATCTCATATTAAAGTTCAATGCTGAAGCTATAATATTTAAGTTTAAGATAGACGTAAACACTTGTGATTTTATAAAAATATTTCTCAAGATCAAAAATTTCATTTTCAATAGGGTTTTCTCCGTTTTTTCAGCTGACAGACATTTTTAAGTTTAATGTATATTCATTTGATAATTATTTTTACCCATGATCATTGGTCATTTTGGTCTCTAGGTTTCTAATGATCAATTTAATGCTTATGTTAATCAATTTAATGTTCAGGTTTACCCAGGATCAATTTATGTCTAGGTTTACCCATGATCAATGTAATGTTTAGGTTTAGTAATGGTCAATTTTATGTTTAAGGTTACCCAGGATCAATTAAATGTTTAGGTTTACCTATGTTCAATATGATGTTTAGGTTTACCGATGAGTAATTAAATGTTTAGGTTTAGTAATGATCAATCAAACGTGGTTTACCCATGATCAACTTAATGTTTAGTTTCATCCATGATCAATCTAAAATTAAGGTTTACCGATGATCAACTTAATGTTCATGTTTATCCATGATCCATTTTATTGTTTTGGTTTCCCATGGTCAATTTGATAATTTGGTTAACCCATGATCAATTTAATGTTTAGGTTTACTGATGATCAATTTGACCCTGAACTAGCGGCAACTATTGGAGTGGATTTTAAAGTCAAGGTGAATAAAATTCTAAATATTATTTATTTTTTAAATAATTAAAGGTTTACTGAGTTGTTCATGGGTTATCAGGGGTAGAGATTGATTTCAGGATCAAGATATGATACTATTGGTATTCTTTAAACCCTTGTCTGAGTAATAATGATGTAGATATCCTGTTTTTAATTAAAAAATGAAAATTTTTCATTATAAAAGTTAGTAGCTTATTAATGCATCAGAGAGAATAATGATAATTGGCAGAATTTACTTCTAAAAACGACGATATCATCCTCATTGTTACTCTGAGAAAGGTACCATTAGCGAATCGGGTGGGCATCTACTTAAGATTTGACAGGTGTTGACAGAAAGGGGCTCTTCGAATCGGGCGTGCGGGCACGTATTTTATCTTTAAATGTTGTTTTTTTAATAGACAATTGAAATGAAAATTACCTTTCAACGCATAACAAAACTTCTTCTAAAGATCTGGAATTATCCTAAACTTCTTATTTATTACAATAATAACCATTTTCTTTTTTATTGAATAAATAATATTTGTTGTAGGTAGTGAATATAGATGGGAACCGTGTCAAGCTGGCAATATGGGATACTGCAGGACAAGAGAGATTTAGAACTTTAACACCTAGCTACTACAGGAAACTCAATCAATCAATTCATTTTACAGTTCAGATCAATCAAATAAATTAATTCATTTTATAGTTCAGATTTATCAAATCAAATCAAATAATTCATTTACAAGTCAGAACTATCAAACCAGTCAATTCAATTACAGTTCAGATCAATCAAATCAGTCAATTCTATTTACAGTTCAGATCAATCAAATCAGTCAATTCTATTTACAGTTCAAGTTCAATAAAATAAATCTATTCATTTTAAAGTTCAGATTAATTAAACCAATCTAATTTTCTTACAGTTTAGATCAATCAAATCAAATAATTCATTTACAAGTCAGATCAATCAAACCAGTCAATTCAATTACATTTCAGATCAATCAAATCAGTCAATTCTATTTACAGTTCAAGTTCAATAAAATAAATCTATTCATTTTAAAGTTCAGATTAATCAAACCAATCTAATTTTCTTACAGTTTAGATCAATCAAATCAAATAATTCATTTACAGTTCAGATCAATTAAAACATTCAATTCGTTTACAGTTCAAGATCAATAAAATCTATCAATTCTTCCTACACTTTTTAGATCAATCAAACCAATCAATTCTTCTTACGTTTCAGATCAATTTAATCAATCAATTCATTGTACAGTTCGGATCAATCAATCAGCACAGTATAGTTGCTTAAACTACGAAATCTCGCATTATTCTTACATTCAAAATCAAGATTAAGTTTTAAATGCTTTATATCATCTATTTGAAAAGCTTAATTAATATATACGATGGTTTTATTTTATCAATCTATTGATTAAGATTTATCAATTTAATTGTTAGATCTTATATTTGTTAATTGATTGATTGATATCTCAGAGGCGGTCAGGGCGCCATTTTGGTTTATGACGTCACATCCCGCGAATCTTTCCAAAAGATCGAAGATTGGCTGAATGAGTTGGAAACTTACTCTACAAATCATGATATCAAGAAAATTTTAGTTGGAAACAAATGCGATAAGGTAACTTACTTTACATGAAGTTTAATTCCAGTTTTTAATATCACGTGACTTTTCATTTAACTAGAGGCAAGTTCAATTCTCAACAATAGCTTTAAAAACTTTTATCTGATCAATAATATGGAAGATATTGTCGTATTTTAAGCTTGAAAAGTGTATAATTCTGACAATTGAAAAATATCAATATCAGATAAAACACATAGGGGAACCGTTGTGTATCGGATACTCCATTCTTATAAATGGATATTCATTTGGAATTAAGCCAGCTGTTACAAAATTACTTTATTACACGTTAAAAATATAATAAACATTTCATTCTCTATCCTTAGGAAGGTGAGCGTATGGTAAGTCGTGAAGAAGGACAGAAATGTGCGCGCAAGCACCAAATGATGTTTATCGAGTCTTCTGCGAAGACGAAGGAGGGTGTGCAGACCGCATTCGAGGAGTTAGTTGAGAAGATTATACAGACTCCTGGTCTCTGGGAGACGACTAGAGGAGGTATCAGGGTTGCTACATCAGATAGAGAAGGTCAGGGGGATGGAGGATGTGCTGGTTACTGCAGTGTGTTATAAGAGATTTTATTAAATTTAAAATGCATTCTTGAAATAATGAAGTGTTCAATCTTTAACAAAAAGTACAGTTTTTCTGATAAATATGATTAATTTTATAGTGCTTAAACTGTTAATATGCCATAAGCAATGAATTTTTATGGCATATTGAAAATTAACCTTAAACCCTGTGTATTAAATGATGTGCCTATCAAATCAGTGTGTTTGCCACTTAAGTAACAAATATTTTTTTTTTAATTAAATGAATTATTTAACCAGAAAATATACTTATTTAAAATGATTTATTGACCTATTCACTATTTTTATATTTTATCTTCAAAGATTTTTTTTCGGGACCCTTATTATATTCTAAGCTAATTGTAAAAAAAACTAAATGTCCAAATTTTTGTGAGCGCTAAAAGAATCCCAGTATCATCATGTTTTTTGAATAAAAGTATATCTTGAACCCAGATTTTTAGATTTGTATTTATTATTTTTGTGTGTGTTATTTAAGAAGCAGGGTTACACACAAAGGATGAGACTGGTAAGGACGACTTGAAACCAGGGTTGGCATTAAAAACCAGCTCAAAAACCCTACGCAATAAAACTCAATAAAACCCACCTGTTAGTGGGCTTTTTTGGGTTTTATTGAGTTTTTTTTTATTTTTTTCTAATATGTGCCTTTTAATGATAAACTCTTCAAGAAATAAGGTCTTCTATCAACTGCATAGATTTTTAGGGAGTTTACAGCACTAAAACCGACACATTTATGTATTTCCTAAGACGTAAACCAATGATCTTAACAACGTAAAAAAAATTTTTAAAATATTGAATTAATCACTCTGGACTTCAAGACAGTGTCGGGCTTTAGACCAGATAAACCCAATTGTAGAAAACTTTTGAAATAATCGATTATCTGCAGTGCTTGGTTTTTTAAAACAAGTACAGGGTGTCCCACGAAACATGACAATAGGAAGACGACTTGAAAGTCGTCTTTGGTATTTGAATTTATTTGTGACATTTAGTCTACTATCTACTATAACATGTATGATTCTTGAAACAATTATCACATAATTCTCCTAGCCCTGGCATTTCCAAAAAGTGGTCTGCGTTTTTTGTGCTTTCAATATTACCTGAGATATAAAGAGTTTGGTTCAGATTTCAATTTTGTTAAATAAAAGCAAAATTATCGAAATCTGAACGAAATTCTTCATATCTCGGGCAATATTGAAAGCACACAAAAAAGGCAGACCACATTTTGGAAATGGCAGGACTAGGGGAATTTTGTGATTATTATCTCTAGAAATTTACTTCTAAAGTTAGGTTGACAAATAAACGCAGCAAATTATATCAAAAATCAAGACGACATTCAAGTCGTCCTGCATACTGTCATGTTTCGTGGGACACCCTGTATTAAAGATATTGAAAACCCCAAGAAGTTACACAGAATTGTATCAGAGTTTTCAAAATTTGTTGCGATAGAACAAAGATATAAAATTCCTTTGTCATTTTTATGTGTGATTGAGCCGAAGTTTTTCGGTATTTAACAGTGGTCTTCCTTCTTGAGCATATAAATATCTACCAATTAATCTGAGTAGCCCCACCCCACTCGGAAATATTTATCCAAGTGAGAAAATAGAATTAGTCTGAAACTTAAAGAACTAAAATTTCAAAAAATTGTAGTATTCCACCTATGAAGATGGGAGGTGATGTTATTGTATTTGAAGAGTATTTACATATGATTATAACCTTTTATCGCAACAACATTATTATTTTTCACAACTTATTACTTAAATAGTCTTATTATTATGAATTGGTATGAATTTTAGTAGATTTTAAATACTTTCAACTGGAAAAACTCATAAAAGCCCCCCAAAAAGCCAATAAAACCCACTGGACTGGAGTTTTTTTTTTAAATAAACGGGTTTTGTCCAACCCTACTTGAAACTCTTGAAATTTGACAATTCCAAGTTTAAATGAAGTCTTCTGCCTTGAATGTGGTCTTTAAATGGCTTATTTAATGATTTTGCTACGAAAGAATGAAGTTTATAGTTGCAGGGAATCATAAGTGTTAGTAAACAGACAGTTTGAATTCCGTAGAGTCGTCTCTGAAGTCTCATTGTTTGTGGGTAACCCTGTAGATTGAAGATAAATTGACACATACGTCCCACGAAACATGACAGTTGGTGAATAGTTTAGAATGTCTTCTTTCATAATTTGTTAAGTTGATTGATACCAAAGACAAAAATAAAAATATACGGGAGTCATTATAGTAAACTTTATTTCAAAGTAAAATATATTTGAGCAAAAGATTTTTTTTAACGAAATAAACTGTAAAAAACCTTTAATATCACAATACAGTATATGCAAGACGACATTCAAAAGTATTTATCAACTGTCATGTTTCGTGGGACACCCTGTAGTTTGATTGATTATAGTCAGCTGAAAACAAGATATAATCCAATTTCCACTGAACTGATAAATTTATTTCTATGAATAAAATTGTCAATTAATAACTTCTTCTTCTTAACAACTTTATTTAAACAAATCAACAATACTACAGTCATAACCAGAAAACTCAGAAATAAGAAGACGACTTTATAGCGATACGTAAGTGTATTTGAAGTTGTTATAAAGCAAATAGTTTTACTAGACACTTATTAAATCACAAATCAAGTGAAATGGGTCTGTTTACACATAATACTTTCTGTTTCCTGTGCTCATTGGACTATCTAAAGTCAAACTTTAAGTTTAAAAGTCGTCTTCCTATTCCAGAGTTTTCTGATTATCACAGTATATATCATTTGCAAAAAATTCTCTCATTATAACTTCGTATCTATTGTCAATTAATAACTATCATATTAAATTAATTTGATCCCTGAAAACACTGACATCAATAAATCTGAAACCCTAATAACATAAGTATTGTATTAAACATCATTTATACTTGAAATCAAAAATATACAAAATACAAATCACATACAATCTTATGTATAGGGTTGTTAATCAGGTTGGTTCGTTCCTGAGGGTTCATCAAAAAAGTTTTACAAATTTCAAAATTGTTTAATCTAAAGATTTGTTTTTCATACACTTTGTCAAATTTTGACCCCGAGAAAAGATATTTACAAAAACGATAGTTATTATTGGCTCGTTCTTCATCATATTTTCTCTTTGAATAAAAATATTGCAATGTTTAATAAAAGCAAACTTTTAACAGAATTTAGTTTAAAATGATGAAAGTTTTTAAGAAAGGAACCAAACCGATGAACAACCCTATCTTTTTATTCCCATTTCACCTTTAATTAGAAACATAATTTTATCACAGCTTGTTTGATTGATTAATTGATATCCGTCTTCAGATCTATTTAACTAAACATTTCACAATTGCATTCAACTTTACAGCTATATTTTCTTCTTTTTATTTTTGTTCAGATACGACATTTAATTTCTGTGCAGATCCAAGCTTTTCGTCAATATTAAATCCCATTAGATCCTTCCTAGTGAGTATACCGACCACCCTGTTCTCATCGTCTACTAGAGTCAGGTGACGCAGTCCTATTTACTACATGTTAAAATCATATTTTTATATACAGGGTGTCCCACGAAATATGGCAGTAGCAAGATAATTTTAAAGTCGTCTTTGATCTTTGGATTTATTTGAGACATTCAGTCGTCCACCTGCTTTCACATGTATGATTCTTAAAATAATAACAAAAGCAAAATTCTCCTAGTCCTGGAATTTACAAAATGAGGTTCCGTCTTTCTGATGCTGTCAATATTACCAAAGATATTGAGAATTTCGTTCATATTTCAATTTGTTTTAAATAAACCCGAAATTCTCAAAATCTGAACAAATTTAAACATATCTCCGGTAATATTATGAGCACAAAAAAGGCAGACCACATTTTGGAAATGCCAATACTAGGGGTATTTTGTGACTATTAACTCTAGAATTTTATTTCTAAAATTTGGTTTACCGATGAATAACGTAGTTATTTCAAAAATAAAAGACGACCTTCAAGTCGTCTTGCTACTGTCATGTTTCGTGGGACACCCTGAATTTTAATTTATGTTTACCTAGAGTTCTAAATATGAGATAAGTTCTCTGGAAGCTAAATCTCTCCGGGAGTACAAGAGCACTCTTGTTTATAAACCGTCTGAGGTCTAGACTAGAACTGGTTCTCTCCCAAACTAGTTCTGTCTGGTTTAACAGCTCGGAGCTCAGCTTTGGATCACTTAGCTTGTGTCCACGCATCTGGTTAAACTCGGAAAATTTAACCTGAATAAAGAAAAAAATGTTTCTTGATGTTTTCTAACAAACCCGGATAATCATACCTTCAAATCTAATCCATCCTTGTTCAGAACTGGTTCCCTGGTGAGACCTTTACAGAGGAGAGTCATCAGTTGAAACCTTGTAATTAAGCCTAGAAAACGTCCTTGCTCTGATACTATCGGAAACCCACCGTGTTCCGTCTCTCGGAGGATTTTTACAATCTTACCGAGGTTTTCAACCTCCCGGAGACAGTGGACGGGATGCTTCATCACGTGCTTAGCGGAGAAGTTCTCCAGGTGTACAGGTTTTCCGTCCTCCTTGTATACCGGAGTATGATCCAGGAATGGAATACATCTGAGTTCCAGCTGAGAATGATAGATGGAGTGGGTGAAGAAATCTCCAACCCACTTGGCGAACATGATCGTTGTGATGATGAGAAGAAGAAACTGAATATCATTCGTGATCTCAACCATTATAACTGCCAGCGATATGGTAAGCCTGGATACCCCAGCAAAGAATGAGACTGCTCCAAGAAGAGCGAATGCACCAGGATCCATCCAGTCCCAGGTATCGGTTCTTACTCCAAATATGTCCACAGTAACTCGTCCGAGCAGTCTTCCGTACAGACCACCTGGATCAGGTATGTTTAGATTACACTGTGGCCCATACAACTTTGTAATGAGAAGACGACTGTTAGACATTTATATAATGCGAATAATGATATAGGCATTAAACACAGCAATTGTGCAGTTTTCGCAGACCCATTTTGTTGATTTTAAGGGTACTGGTGAAGTTTTTTTTTTGCTTCAGTACGACACCAATTACATAATAATTACTATTCCACAGTTTTATGGGCCCTATAACTGTATGTTTATAGTTTACCTATAAGAAGCATAGGAACCACTATTCCGCATGATATTTGTGTGCCCGAGGCCCAGCAGGCGAGGAAGAAGTAGATGATAAGGAAGACGATTAGAGCTGAATATCCGAACTCTAGGTGGGTATTCCGGGAGAATAAATGCTGGATTGCTTTCTCTCCAGTCACAAAAAACAGGGTTGCTGCCTTTATGCAGTGCACTTGAAACAAAACAATTCATATAGAGCGAAAAAATAAATTTTCTAGAAGAAGGTATTTTTTATCCAAATATAATTTTTAAATAATATTTATTCATAAATTCAGGGAGGCAGAAATAAAGTGGATCCTCATCAAAACAGATTCCAGTTTGTGATACAAATTTACCACATTGACGTCATGCAATTTTAAAAAGAAGCAATAGATGGTGGCCATCTCTTTAATATCTTAAATTGAGTGATCAATCATTTTTCCTCAAAGGAATTGAGTCTTTGCCACAAACTCTGATTTTCTTATTCCCATATCTTTGCAACCCAATTTCGTAGACCTTAGATAATTCAAACTATGAATGATGTTAGATCTGTTGATCAAAGTTTGAAATATCAGTGGAGAACACAATTGGGTTGCAAAGGGATTACAAAATTAGAGTTCCTTTAAATGTGACCACATTGGATTTCGAGATTAAACACTCGAGATTAACTATCTGTGCACATACGTTCCTCATTGTAGGAACCATTGATGAGTTGGGTTCCGTTTCCTAGATTAATCTGTTCCCAGGGACACGTGTAGTGTTCCACGTTCGGTTTGGTTACTCCTAAGTTTGCAATATTTCCAACACGTGCCGGTAAACAAACCCTCTCACCAGAGTTATCCTAAACAATGGATATATTTCTTCTTGAAAATAAGTTTAAAATAATTTCCCAAGATGTTATCAAGAAGGTAGCGAAAAAAAAACATTTGTTTTTATCACTGAATTTCACCTTTTGGGAAATTAATCAATTTCAGAGGAAAAGTATTAAGACAACGTAATAAACGTAATAAAGCGTTAAGTTAAAATCCTCATGTTTTTTATGTTATTTTCCTTCAAAACTTCCAAAAAAAATTCACCCTCGAAGTTTTATTTAGGTTGTTGGATTTCGTTAAAAGTTTTATTTTAGATTGAGATAAAAATTCAAACGAAAAGATATCGAGATTATTTTTTATTGTTTATTAACCTACCGTGACTGTTTGATCAAGTAGACAGTTCATCTGTGTACAAGGGAACATGGCAGGGACAAAAACAGATAGAAGACAGGTTAGGAGAAGGATCAGGACGGGTTCAGCTATTTTCATCAATTGTAAATATCTAGAAAATAAGTAATGAAGGATCAAGTTAAATCGATAAATATTTACGTTATTTATGTTTTGCCTTGGGTTGGATTTTAGGGTATAAACCTTCTCCTGATCCTATTTGGGTTGGGTTGGGTATTTTGGCCTGAACCTTCTCCCTGGTCTTATTCAGGTTGTCCCCTGAAACCTTATCCTGGTCCTATGTACATATAGTTTGTTTTCTACCTAGGTTGGATATCTTGACCTGAAACCTTCTCTTGGTTTAAATAGCTTGTATTCTACCTTGGGTTGGAAAGGATGACATGACACATTCTCTTGGTTTATATAGATTGTATTCTACCATGGGTTGAATAGGATGACATGAAACCTTCTCCTGGTCCTTTTTATAGGGTCTATCATAGGTTGGACAACTTTACCCAAACCTTCTCCTAATCCTATATATAGATTGTATTCTACCTTGGGTGGGATAGGATGACCTGAAACCTTCTCCTGGTCCTTAATATAGGTCCTCTACCTTGGGTTGGATATCTAGAACTAAAACCTTGTCTTGGTTTATATAGATTGTATTCTACCTTGGGTTGGATAGGATGACATGAAACCTGTTCCTGGTCCTTTATATTGGCTCTACCTTGGGTTAGATATCTAGAACTAAAACCTTCTCTTGGTGTATATAGTTTGCATTCTACCTTGGGTTGGATGGGATGACATGAAACCTGTTCCTGGTCCTTTATATAGGCTTTACCTTAGGTTGGATATCTAGAACTAAAACCTTCTCTTGGTTTATATAGATTGTATTCTACCTTGGGTTGGATATCTAGAACTAAAACCTTCTCTTAGTTTGTATTCTACCTTGGGTTGGATAGGATGACCTGAAACCTTCACCTTGTCCTTTATATAGGGTCTATCATAGGTTGGATACCATTACCCAAACCTTCTCCTAATCCTATAAATAGATTATAATCTACCTTGGGTTGGGTATCTTGGCTTGAACCCTTCTCCTGATCTTGGCAATTTGCAGGTTTAAAGAGATGAAGAGAGAACCCAGTAAACCTCCCAGAACCCCAAGAATTATGCTGGGAATGATGGCAAGAATGTTCATGTCGATACCGTTCTCTATCTGGAAGATGATATAACGCTTGGTCGTGAACTGTCCGAACCCTGTAGCAAAACAAATCTTGAGATTTTGTTCCTTGATGATTTCAAATTGTCTGATAAACATGGAACACATCAATGACTAAAAGTAATACTGCCCATTTCACTTAATAGTTTGATTTTAAATCTACTGGTTAACAACAATAAATACACAAAAGTCAGCTTAAAGGGACTGTAAAGGAAAAATAAATAGGGGGTATAGGCTGAAACCTAACCATTTTAGGAGTTGATCGAGACCCATGAGAGTTCTATCTAAAATTCCGTCTCGAGAAATATAAAACTGTGTGAAATGTATACGAACACTTATATATAAAATGTTGTTTAAAAATCGTAAGTTTAAACAGATCATATTCAGCAAATACACAACCAATCTGAAAACGACGATATCCCAGAGGAGCCTGAGGTTTGCTCCTATTATTATTTGAATTTATAATTGATATTATTATTTATACGTCCGTATCACGTGACCAGAACTCCCACCAATAACAGTGCAGTATACTAGTCACGTGATACTGACGGAGACACAGTTTTATATCAATTTCTCGAGACATGAACCTCAGATAGAACTCTTATGGGTCTCGATCAACAAATGCACAGGTTTCAGCCTATTCCAGTATACAGTGAGAACAAGAAAACAGTGTCTTGAGGTCTTCTTTTATTTTAATCATGAAATTATGCTGAGGATTCCGCAATTTTAGACTAAACTTTTTCTTGTACCTCAACATATTTACATATTAAATAATTGATAACATTTGCAGATTACAAGATTTTCAATGTTTTCTAAATCTTACTGTAGATTTTTATAAAAAATGTTTAAAATTTCAAAATTAGTAGATTTGTTCGTTCCTCCGGTGTACTTGAATCCGGAGAAGGCGGAGTTGAAGAGATCCGTGGTGAAGGCGCTAACCATGCTGCAGAAAAAGATCTGCCAGGACATCTTCATGTTCCAGAAGGATGACACCTCCTCCATTGCGAAGAGAAGTCCACCCACCGGAGCACCAAACGCAGACGATATACCTTAAAAATGTTTCATAAAACCGCCAGCTGGGTTACACAAAACATTAATCTCACTTAAAGGAGATTTTTCATTTTGTTTACCGTCACATTATGCTATTTATATTATACAAATCGCTCTAGCTGCCGAAAAGTCGGTTGGGTACTTCAAATGAATCTCGAAGTTTTAGTCAAGAATGAGACTTCAGAAACGACTGCTCATTTTAAAATTCATAATTCTCTACTTTTTTAGCGTTTGAAGATTGTATTTGGTGCAAACCTTCAGATGGTGACATTACCCAATACCCAGTAAAGAAAAATCTGATAAAAACGGAAAATTACAATGGTCACCCACTCCTACTTTCTCTGTCAACATGTATATAATCTGTTGAAAAGGTGACCTGCAGCAGCACCAGCTGTTATAAAGATTACCTACAGCAGCACCAGCTTTTATAAAGATTACCTGCAGCAGCACCAGCTGTTATAAAGATTACCTACAGCAGCACCAGCTTTTATAAAGATTACCTGCAGCAGCACCAGCTGTTTTGAAGATTACCGACAGCAGCACCAGCTGTTATAAAGATGACCTGCAGCAGCACCAGCTGTTATAAAGATTACCTGCAGCAACACCAGCTGTTATAAAGATTACCTGCAGCAACACCAGCAGTTATAAAGATTACCTGCAGCAGCCCCACCTGTTATAAAGATTACCTGCAGCAGCACCAGCCGTTATAAAGATTACCTGCAGCAGCCCCAGCTGTTATAAAGATTACCTGCAGCAGCACCTGCTGTTATAAAGATTACCTGCAGTAGCACCAGCTGTCATAAAGATTACCTGTAGCAGCACTAGCTGTTATAAAGATTACCTGCTGCTGCACCAGCTGTTATAAAGATTACCTGCAGCAGCACCATCTATTATAAAGATTACCTGCAGCAGAACCAGCTATTATAAAGATTACCTGCAGCAGCACCAGCTGTTATAAAGATTACCTGCAGCAGCACCAGCTGTAATAAGATTACCTGCAGTAGCACCAGCTGTTATAAATATTACCTGCAGCAGCACCAGCTGTTATAAAGATTACCTGCAGCAGCAACAGCTGTTATAAAGATTACCTGCTGCAGCACCAGCTGTTATAAAGTTTCTCCTGTCTTCGGTATTTCTAAAAGAGAAAAAAAATAAGTTGTCTTTTAGGGGTTGCAACATAATAGAAGACCCATATTTCAAAGTTCAATGAAGTTCTGAATTTTTAAAATTTACGATATTTTTACAATCCTTCTTTATCTTATTATAAAACTTCGATGAAATGTATTAATGTTACAATTTTGTGCGTTCTCTATAATGTCTTATCTCTACATTACGTTCTCAAAGTGAATCCTAAATATTAATGCGTATTTTTGATTTAATCAAAATCCTCACTTAAAATTGCATTTCACTTCCGTTCAGATTTAAGTTAACATGAAACCTGAGATTCTGATCTAATTTTTTCAATCCTAATCAAGAAGGTTTGGATAGTTTTTAAACCTGAATCTTGTGAAGAATGGAAAACTTATTCCCAGGGTTTTGCTTTGAAACTGAGATATTCCAGCTCCTACCATACTACCCATATGGATCATAGGACCCTCCGGACCTAGATATTATTATTATTATTATATGTAATTATTATTATAATTATTATTGTCATTATTATTATTTTTAAGAGCACAGGAAATGAATTTGACAAGGAAAGTTTTAAAGTTGAAAATATGCCTGAAATATAAGGTATTTAACTGATATGAAAAAAAAACAGTTTTTTAATATTTCTAGTTTTAAGTTTGTTCTGATCAAACCATGTCATTAACAGTTTCCAATTTCAAAATTAAAATAAAAGTATAATCTAAATAATTACATATACGGTTTAAGACAACTCTGGTTCTTAAAGTGCTATTTTTCAATGTTTAACAAGTTTGTCAATATATACAACTGAAGACATTTCAGGGGATACATTAATTCGCTGTAGTGGAGTAAACTAAAGGTTTACTCTTTTTCTTGTGTTGAAAGTTTGACCAAAGCAAACAATACTTTTTATGGTTTCTAATTTCAAAATAAGATAAGATTAATGTAAGACTCAACAAACCAAGGTATGCACACTCTGACGCAAAAATCGAGCAGTATTTTGCAATAAATGCAATTTAAACTCAAGCTAGAAACAAGCGCCTTGCATTTTTAATATGTTTATGTCTAGGGCTACATAAAAGTTAGCGTAAGTTGGTGAGGTAAAACCAGTCTTTGTGACACTTTAAAGTCGAATCTGTCCAAAAATGTTAAGACTTACTTTCAGGGAAGAAGAGTCTCAAAGTCTGATCAAAGTGTTCTTTAGGAGAAAAAATAGTTCCTGGATACCTGATCATAGTTCCGTTCAGAAAACCAATTAGTTCCTGGATACCTAATCATAGTTCCGTTTAGGAGAACAAATAGTTCCTGGATACCTGATCATAGTTCCGTTTAGGAAACCAAATAGTCCTGGATACATGAGTATAGTTTCGTTTAGGAAACCAATTAGTTCTGGATACCTGATCATAGTTCCGTTTAGGAAACCAATTAGTCCTGAATACCTGATCATAGTTCCGTTTAGGAAGCCAATTAGTTCCGGGAGTCCGGACCCGGCTGCACTAGGACGTAAGAAGACGACTATACAGGTACTCCCTAAATAATCCGAAGTACAAACTAAGAAATATGGATGTTACATACTCAACACTCAACTATACAGATGTACATCAGGTTGGTATACTGGTCATTTGAGTTTTTGTTGATTACTTTTAAGAAAGATAAAATCAGCATGATATTTACAATACACTATGGAGGACGTCGTGCCGATCTCCAATAACACAAGGAAGTTTTCTGGAGTATATATTTAACTGATAACAATATCAAAAGAACTGGGTAAAATATGTCGGAATAAATCACATTGTTCTAAACGAGAGATGCAGCGCAGGATTCTCAACTCTTTTCTTTGTTCACGGCCTTTGTGTAAGGAGGCCGCCAGGTCTCGTCTTCCACAGTACCCCCCCCCCCCGCGTAGAGGCCGGAGGTTGACCGGAGGATAAGCGTCTAGTCTTCTATTATCACTGGAGTAAGTTTAAAAACCACTTTTTTCCTCCTAGGAAATATCACAGTCGAGGCTGCGGCTGGATTCTGGAACAGGAGGAAGATCAGGTGGAACCCTACGAGGAGGACGTCCATGACGAGTTGGTTTGGCTGGTTTCTCTTCATCAGAGGTAATAGCTGGTTTCAATCTCTGCACAGAAACCACCTCTACTCGATTACCAACCTGGAGACGGAAGGTTCTCTGGGATCGACCGAGAACTTTATAAGGTCCTTCATACAGAGGAGATAGAGGGGGAACATGTCCATCTCTGCGTACCAAAACCATGGGACAAGTTGTCAGAGATATTGGAACCTGCTGAGAAAGCTCTGGAACTTCTGGAGTGTTGTGACGAGCAGGTACTGGACGAAAACCTGACATTGAGTTTTTAAGATCCTCGTAGAACTGTTTTGAAGGAGGATCCTGACTCTGTAAGAACTGATGAGGGAGGACCAGATCTGAACCATAAACAGCCTCCGAAGGAGATGAGGCTGAATCCTCTCTTGGAGCAGAACGGAGACCCAAAAGAACCCAAGGTAAATGATTGTACCAATCAGCAGCTGCCAACCGAGCTCGTAGAGAGTTTTTAAGCTGTCTGTGGAATCTTTCAACCATCCCATTTGCTTGTGGATGAAAAGCTGTGGTTTTTCTGTGAACGATACCGAGCAAGGAACAGATTGCTGACCACAGAGGAGGAGGTGAATTGAGCTCCTCTGTCACTCGTGATAATTGCTGGAACTCCAAACCTTGCAATCCAACCGTGGAACAAGGTAGAGGCACACTCTGTTGCTGAAATACCCTGGAGTGGGAATGCTTCCGGCCAGCTAGTAGATCTGTCCACACAGGTCAACAAGTACGTGAAACCTTGAGAAGGAGGTAGGGGACCAACTAAATCTACATGAATATTTGAAAATCTTTGAAACGGAACAAGGATTTTTTCCGGTCGGAGCTGAACATGACAGAGAACTTTTCCACGCTGGCAGGAAATGCATGCACGACACCAATTTCTCACGTCATTGGCTAGTCCACGCCAGACAAATCTTGATGATATTAATCTCCTAGAGGCTCTTGTCCCTGGATGAGATAAGCTGTGTAGAGCGGAGAATATCTTGAAAGGTTGAGAAGCAGGTACTAGTGGACGGAGAACCTGCGTTCTAGCATCACAGAGTAAAAAACCATTCTTAACAGGTACAGAGACGAGGCGGAGAGAGGGAGAACTCTGTAGTCGGAGAATCTCTGGACAAGAACGTTGGTCTGATGCTAGTTCTTCAAAATTAATACCTTTGGCTGAGGTTAGAAAGGGAGAGGGTAGAGAAGAATCTGTCACCTCCACACCTCCGACACCTGACCACCAGGGGGATGGGCAAAAGGCGGATGACAAAGGGAAGGGGGATGGGAAGGAGGAGATGGACGGGAAGGGGAAGGGGGATGGGAAGGAGGATGGGAAGGAGGAGATGGACGGGAAAGATTATCTGCTACAACATTGGCGGATCCTGGAGTATGGTGAATATCACTGGTAAACTCTGATATATAAGATAACTGGCGTTGTTGGCGTGCTGACCAGGGCGGAGAAACTCGGAACAGGGCAGAAATCAGGGGGAGATGATCTGTATTGATGTGGAACTTTCCACCTTCTAGCTCGAAACGGAAATGACGTAGGGCGAGAAAAACCCCCAACAACTCTCTGTCAAAGGTGGAATATCTTTGCTGGGTGGCTGAGAGTTTGGCGGAGAAGAAGGCTAGAGGTCTCCAATTGGATTTCTCATGCTGTTGCAGGACTGCTCCAACCTGTGAGGCGGAAGCATCTGTCACAAGGGAAACTTCGGCGGACAGAGAAGGGTGAGTCAATGGAACGGCGGAGGAAAGGGCGGACTTGGCTTTCTCGAAGGATTCCTGATGAGTTTCTGACCAGTTTAATGATTTAGGGTTCCCAGCCAGGGCATCTGTGAGCGGACGGAGAATCTTCGCAATACCTGGAAGAAACCTCCTGTAGAAATTGACCATGCCAAGGAATCTTTGCAAGGAACGGACATCTTGAGGAGGAGGCAGCTGGAGTAGTGATTCAACATGCCGGCGGAGCGGGACAATTCCTGTGGCTGTAATCTTGTGACCGAGATAATCTATTTCTGGAAGAGCAAAACTGCATTTATCGAGGTTGATGACCAGGCCATTCTGCACTAGGAGTTCCAGTACAACTCGGAGATGTTTCAGGTGAAGACCTCGTCCACGGCTCGCCACCAGAATGTCATCAAAGTAAATAAAGACGAAAGGTAAACCTTTAAAGATCCGGTCCATGAGACGTTGAAAGGTCTGTGCAGCATTCTTCAATCCGAAGGGCATGGATAGGAACTCGAATAAACCGAAAGGCGTAACTATGGCGGTTTTACAAATATCTTCACTGTTCATGGGTACTTGATGATAACCCTTCACTAAATCCAGCTTTGAAAAAACTGTACAATGTTTCAAATTGTTTGTGAAATCACGGATATTTGGCAAAGGATAACGATCAGGCTTTGTCACGTTGTTCAAATGGTGATAATCGCCGCAAGGACGCCAAGAACCATCTGGTTTAGGAACCATGTGTAATGGAGAGGCCCAGGGGCTGTCAGAACGTCGTATAATTCCTGCCTCTTCCATCTTGCGAAACTCAGCTTTTGCAGACTCTAACTTTGCTTGATCCAATCTTGGGCAAACAGCGGTTGACCTTCAGTCTCTATGACGTGTTCTACCTTGTGAGCAGGAAGTTGACCAGGTTGACGAGGTTCCCATGCAGCTGGGAATTCTTTCAGAAGGGAGGCAACATCAGGAGCAAGTTTGAAAACTGAAGCAACGGCGGGATTGGCGGTTGACATGACTGGAGCGGAAAGAGGTTTCATAGATGCACGTTCCAGAACCTGTCGTTTAGAAGCATCCACCAGAAGGTTGAATTCAGCCAGGAAATCAGCCCCCAGAATAGGACGATCAACATCTGCCAGTAGAAATGAAAACTGAAAACGGCGGTTACCAAATTGGAGCGGGATAGTTCTAGAACCCCAAGCTTTGGTAGGACGACCATCAGCCATCAGTAGACGAGGACCTGTGGGAGCAGCTGATGAATGGTGTGGAAAAACTGAGCGTGATGCACCTGTGTCGACCAAAAAGTTGCGGTTGGAGAGGATATCCTGGAGGTAGATGAGAAAACCGCCGACGGGAAGACTGTTTAATTCCTCCTTCTCCCGTCGGCTCTGGAATTTCCCTGGAAACTGCATGGAGGGCGGCTGTTATTCGCAGATTTTCCAAACCGTTTGTGAAAATAGCATTCACCTGCACCAGCTGGACCCGGAGCCTGGCTTTGTCGGACAGGAGAAACACTTGAACGTTCCCTTCCTCGAGCACGAGAAGGAGAGGTAGAAGCTGCAGCTAGGAGAGGATCAACTGCTTGTGCTCTACGAGCATCCCATAACTTATCTGCATGTAAAGCCATCTTGCTAGGATTCTTGAAATCCTTGGCCACCAGGTGGTCTCTCATCTCTACAGGTAACCTCTCAAGGAAGAGACCAAGAAACAGGCTACCTGGTACTTCATCTTCAGGGAGTAAGGCCAGCATGGCGTCCATCAAAGCTGTGGGGCGGCGGTCACCTAACGCAGGATGGGGAATAACTTTGGACACCCTCTGCCAGCGAGACAAGGTGTAAGAGGATACCAGCTTCTGTTTCAGATCCTCATAGGGTGTAGAGGATGTAGCAGACGAACTAAGTATCAGGCCACGTACGGACACCATGATGTTCTGCGGGAGTTTCTGTATAACATGATCAAACTTTGTTCTCGATTGTGTAATCTGAGCATTACGGAATGCAGACTCGGCATGAATGAACCAGAGATCAGGATCGTCGGACCAGAAATCCGGAAGTTTGACGGCTACCTTTGTAACGTAGTGAGCAGCAGGGGCTGAAAGATTTCCATCATCTTCACTCATTTTGATAGGAATCGCTCGTTCTCCTTCGCGTTGACAGAATTTACTCGTTCTCCCTTGTGTTGATAGAATTCAGGAACACCGTAGTTATGTTCAAGGTCGGGGTCACCAATATGGAGGACGTCGTGCCGATCTCCAATAACACAAGGAAGTTTTCTGGAGTATATATTTAACTGATAACAATAACAAAAGAACTGGGTAAAATATGTCGGAATAAATCACATTGTTCTAAACGAGAGATGCAGCGTCTTCCACAACACATTACAAACATTTAAAGGAGTGTTCTCGAAAAACAAAAAAGGGTAACGATTGATACCTAATTAGTAGCAAAAGATTGGTAAGAACATTTTTAAAACTACCCGATTTTTTATTTCAGATTTAGTTTTAATTATGAAACAAAATGAAAAGCATTTTCCTTCCAGTGTAACATTTCCGCGGAAAAGGTGTTTAAATTCATGAATTTACCTGTAAGAAATATAAGACTGTATCCAGTAACCCAGATCCATGCTGCTCCGTAATTAATATTTCCATGCTCCAGCAAGGTCTTAGCATAGCTCCACTAAACCCAGGGCTTTTCATTGCTTTTAACTCCGCAGAGGAACTGAACTCTGGCAAAAAATAGGATTTTCAAATCCCTTTTATCTTTGCAACCTAGTGTCGTAAACATTTGACTTCAGGTTGCAAAGGTTATGAAACTAGAACCTATCTATTGCGAGTGTTTAGTTCGTATGCATGGTGATTAATTGAATATTTCATATTTATGATGGAAAATATTTATTATAAACGAGGTGAGGTATACTTGTAATAATTATTTAAAAGTAATTTGTTTTGTTTTTTTAAACTTTTTAACGTTTTTGAAACCAACCCGGTTTTTTTCGAGAATAAAGTTAAGTATAGTTTAGAATTCTTAAATTAACTCCAAAAGGCTAAAAAAATACAATGACTACTTTCAACCCTTAAAACGTCCATATTTTTGAAAAACACTGTATTTTTATTATTATTATTTGCTGCATGTTATACTTTACACAAACAATTAAGTTATATTAACCCTAGAGTTTGATGGATAAAGTCGTGTTTCAGGATATTTATAATTTATTATTTTCTTAATGAGGAATCCATGTCAATTTATTCAATAAGCAACAAATTAATTAAAAACCTTGTCGCGACATAATAATTTTTATAATAATTTATAAAAATATTTGACATAGTTTTTTAGAATATTCAAATATAATGTTTGAAGGCTAAAAATGTATAGTTTATTCAAAAGCTCATGTTCCTTAGTGTCTGCTATTAAATCAATAACTTGATGAAGAAGAAATCCTGAAAAAATAAGATTTTGAAAATCAAATTTTCCTATCCCTATATATATCTTTGCAACCCAATGTCGTTTACCTTTGATATTTTGAACTATGAACTCTGTTAAATCAAGTTTGAAATGTTAAAGGTTCACCCCATCCGGTTGCAGAAATATAGAGATAAGAAAATTTGAGTTTGCAGCAAGAACTCAGTTCTTTTAGTGTTAACTTTTTTGTATTTTAAAAAAAGGCCATGAATCTATTTCAAAAGAAAGTCGTCACATTGGTGTTTCACAAAGACATTAGTTCCAAATAATGATTATTTGGCGTCAAACCTTCTAGAAATCCAACGTATGGACCCGCTACGTATAGCAACATGGCGTATTTTCCGGGAGAACATTTTTTTATATTTTTGAAAAATTAAATTATCAATGTATAATAAATATAATCCTTTTATTTAAATGGTAAAACGGAATTTTATGAAATCATATTAGCATTACTGGAGAACTTTTTTTATACTTTTCAGAATTTTTGCCAAACCTAAAATGTACGTATTAAACTATTTTGCTCCTTTAATGTCTAGGTTATTTTAAAAAAAAATAGAAATTATGATAATGATAATGATAAGCTACAATATTTTACAAAAACGTTTAATTTTTCGAAAATATGAAAAAATGTTCTCCCGGAAAATACGCCATGTTGCTATACGTAGCGGGTCCATACGTTGGATTTCTATAAGATTTGACGCCGATTATTTTTTCTATTGGGAAGAAGTGGAGTGGTTTGTTTTATCCTAGTTTCAAATACGACTAGATATTTTCATTGGAATCAGCTTTTAACAATCCTTAATAATTTAACCTTTTCCTTGTGACGTCATCGTTCACGTGTAAATCTATGTCTAATTTTAGATAGATAGAAAGTTCATCATTTATATTTGTCTAAAGCAAAATTACATGAAACAATATAGAAGTTTACAATTTAAAAATATTACTCTTTTATCTGGATAAAGCATTTTATGATTAACAGGGTTTGCCAAAAAGACAGGTGCCGTACAAGACTTTAGCATTAGTATAGTTTAGTTATGCAGAGGTGGTTTTCAGAAATGTAGTCTCTTGGTCGCAGTCTAGTGTTTTTCGTTTTCTAAAAATTTGTTATGATGAAAGCACTGCAAGGTTGATAGATTATCGCACATTGCTTTAAAACCAACACTGGGTTTGCAGAACTTATGCAGTTTCTTTGCTTTGTTTGATGGTGAGATATATATGTAAAAAAATGTCCGTTTAATTTCTGTATATTTTCAGGAGTGTGAACAGTTTATTTTAAAAAAATCTATTTTTTTTAAAACTGGGAATGGTATTTATCTGGATCCAGCGAATTGTAATAATAAAAGTTAAAAAATAATTTAATTATGATTCATTAATATTTTTCATTTTTTGAGACTATTCCCTTTTTGTATTTTCTGCAGTGAATTACAAGTATAAAGTGTTGAAATTAATTATGCAATAAACATCAAATGAAAGTGAGGAACAAAAGTTGAGTGTATACACAAAAAAGCTCCAAGACCTTGAATAAATATTTATATATTTTGTCAAGGTAAATATATGACCTAGTTATTGCAGTAAATTAATTCAAAGATTAATAAAAACAAACTTTTCAATGACGCAGGATTCAAAACATTAAACTAAATTTAGTTTTTAACATTATTTGAAAACAAAAGTTTTTAATCTTTTTTTTAAATGCACTGAATTCCTTTTAAATTTTGAATTTTTAAAAAAAGAAAATGATTAATCATGAAAACGATGTCTAGATACATATTGTCTATACTTCTTTTAATACTAATTGACATGCAAGGTTCAACTTAAATAAGTTTTTAACCTACATATTAATCACAAGAAATTTTATATTTGGCGCCAATTTTTATTTTAATATTTCTGAAATCCATTGGCACGGTAATACCTATCTTCTTTAATTTTTGAACAAACATTAATCAAGTATGACATTTTCAACAAGATGTTTTAATTTTACCTGTGACCCCGACAATAAAACCAATAATGCCCATCATGACCCATCTATCCCACTCTCTGTAAGCAGGCTGACCCTCCAGCCAGTCCAGGTAAACCCTACTGTCAGGAGGAAAATAATCCTTAACATTAAAATAGATTTTATTTTGGATTTTAAAAAAAATGGCTGACTTTATCAGGAAACCAAAATTAACTCAAACTTTAAAGTTGCACGAGCCGAATAAAACTTTACTTATCAAACTTTTATTAAGTTTCAGGGTTAAATCAAAAGTTTTAAAAAGTTGTTCATTTATTAGAACAAATTAATTGATTTTATATTGAAAATTAAATAATTCATCAATTAATAAAGTTCTAATTAATGTTATCGATATTTACAAGGACATATAATTATTTCCCTTACATGTACATTGTACAATGTTCATAGTACAAACCTCTGAATTGTAGCTTTGAAGTATATTTCTTTCCTGTACAGTGTACTGATGGTTTACTGTTGTACCATGGAGATCTTTTAAAACCTCAAACGGTGAATCATCAACCTGTACATAAACATGTACATTGTACACTTAAACCTTAGTTTGTCAATTTTTAGTCAGTTTTCAGTTTTCATTGTATAGTTTACAGTTTACAGTTTTCAGTTGATATTTTACAGTTTACAGTTTTTAGTTGATAGTTTACAGTTTACAGTTTACAGTTTTCATTGTATAGTTTATAGTTTTCATTGTATAGTTTACAGTTTACAGTTTTCAGTTGATAGTTTACTCTTTACAGTTTTCAGTTTACAGTTTATAGTTAACAGTTTTCATTGTATAGTTTACAGTTTACAGTTTATAGTTTTCATTGTATAGTTTACAGTACTGAAATTACAGTTTATCGTGTACAGTGTACAGTTTATAGTGCAGATTTAACAGTGTTAAACTAATCAACTATACCTTAACCCATTCTTCATCATGATGTAGGTTCAACCCATCAACCTCATCTTCAACCTGTCCTAGATCCTGTTCATGCTCAATCCGTCTCTGAATCTGCTCCAATTCAACCCGTCCTGAATCTTGATCTAGTTTAATCTGTCCTTGAATCTTCATCAGTTCAATCCGTCCTAGATCCTGCTCATCTTCAATCCGTCCTTGAATCTGGTCATCTTTAATACGTATTTGACTATGATTATATCCAACACTTCCAGTATCTTGCTCTAGGTCAATTCGTCTCTGAATCTGCTCCAGCTCAGTCCGTTCTTGAACATGATCAAGTCCAACCTGTCCTTGATCCTGCTCATTTTCTGTTCTCAGATCTCTAGATGGAACCACATCATCCAAGCTCAGTATTTCTAAAAACAAGATCGGGATTGAATTCGCAGATTGTTGAAATAATGTTGTTTACAAACTGTGATTATTGTTTACAAAGAAACCCGTCCCAGGGCAGTCTAGATAGTGGCATAAATAGATTCACAGCGGTTCCTTTCTAACCCACATTCAAGTATGAATGCTGTAGATATATTTGTTTTCTATCTAAAAATCGCGTTCTAAAAGAACGCTAAAACGAATAAGAAAATGGTTGAAATTCTTACATTTTTTCACAAAAAAAGAATATATATATATCTTTAAACGCTTGTCAGAGGTAGGTTTGATTGTCACTGTTTTACAATTATTGATACGAATTGAAAAATTAAAAGGTCCTCAAAAATAATGTTTACAGTCCCTTTAAAGTTGGTTTAATTGTGAGATATTGTAAATTAACCAGGAATCCCCGGCTCATATCTTTGTTTACACTATAAAGTGTACTGCAGTTTCTGAGAGGAGCATAAACAAAGCTCAGCCTGAGCATTACTCAGTTTGTTTACATTCCCATCATTACACTTGTTTGTAAACAAAGCTATGGGTTTATTACATAGACTATAAGATGTACACAGACTGCTCATAAGTTATAAGTTATATAATGGATAGGCTAAGCAGAACTAAAGTTGTACCAGCACGACATGCTACATTTCCAGGAAAGGTTTTTGACTGCCATCTAACGGCAATTTTTTAAAGTAATAGTCTAACTTTTAACATAAAACATAAAATTTATGAATTTAGTCTATTTGTGAAGGTTTTGTATTTCGTATCCAAAGGATCCTTAAATATCCCTGAATATAGACGTCTGTTTATTAGTCGTGTACTCCAGTTGTACACAATGGAACCTGTTGTGGAAAATATCGCAGTTTCCAGCCTTTAATAGATCTCTGTACTTTCTTATCATTTTTTTTTCCTCGACCTGGACGATGTTCTGATAATCCAGGCTCAGGTTCCAACATTGTAAATTCTTATTTTCCCATTTTCTAGATCTTAAACGTCATAAACATATTACTAAGTATAACAAGATAAATATTTAATATTTTCTACATACGAGATTTTCCTAATTCGTTTTTATTAGACTAAAAGTTTGGAAATGAGAACATGACGTTTCTAAATATAAATATTTTTTAGATGGTTTTTCAACCTCTTAACGTTTTAATTCTGTCGGGTACAATAAACACCTAGGGTTAAAAGAGTCATATTTGAATGCAAAACAAAATATTTTTCTCGAAAAAAACACACAGAAAACTTAGATGGTATAAGAACAAAATTGAATATTGTGCAATGAGCATATACATACTTTGCATGATGGTTAAATGTTTGCTCAAGTTTTAGCTAGTTTACTTCATGTGCATATATACTACTCTAATAATCTCTATGGTCCATGCCACACTATGCTCCAGTGTGAGTATTCTGAAGGTTAGGGACAAAGGGTCTGTGTACACTATTCACTGTGACGTATTAGAACCGCTAGGAACTATTTTTTCAAAACAATAACAAACATTGTAAACAATAGTCCACATTTTACCGACCGGACTTATTACTGTTTATTTACCTTAAACGTACCAGTACCAGAGCTGGATCTCTATATCCACTGTGGACACTTTAGATTTTCTGCTTAATCCTCTCTTTTGGATATCCTGGGTAATGATCGGATCCTTAGTTAATGAAAACGACACTCTAGTTGGTTGAATTTTATGAATATAAAAAAAAATTACACTAATCTGTAGATTAACAAAAAAGGAGATCAAACGCTGATCTTGATATTCACAATTCTGAAGTTTTCCGCGCTGAGCGTTCTTAATACGTCACAGTAAAAATACGCAAACCCTATCCCCCTCACCTTCCATCTAATCACTTTGATCTCATTGACGAAATCAGGTTAATTCACCACAATCATATCAGTTCAAGGATTCATATCAAACTGAAATTAAACCCTATTCAACTACATACCTAGTCCTACATAGGGGTAACCCACAAAGGATGAGACTTCAGAGACGATTGTGCGGAATTTGTTTAGTCCGTTTTCTTGCGTTAGGGGTTCCTTGTAGGCCAAAACTGACTTAAATTTCTGTGCTTAATCATTTAGTAAACCACCAAAATATTCAATTGAATGCAGAAACCAAAAATCTAAATTCAAATCGTCATATTTTTTAGTGTTTTGGGTCTTCTTTACAGTCTCATCCTTTGTGGGTAACACTATATATAATGAACACTTTAAATAAATTTTTCATAACAACGTTTTGTTTAAATTGTATTTTTTTGGGACATACCGCATAATATAGATAATTAGAAGAAGATAATAGAAATTGAAGATTTCTATTTCAAAAGTAAAATATAAACAATAAGTTAAAAATTTAAATTTAAAACTATCCAAGTCAATCTATAACATGCAAATATTCGAGCGAATCAATTATTGATTATGAAGAAACTTTCGAAAACGGTGAAACAAAAAATCTTATTAAATAAGAAAGCTTTTGCTTTTGCTCATATATATATTTGTATATATGTTAGCTTTAGCTGGCCAAACGGATTGACCAAAATAGCTGAATCGATTTTTTTTTCAAAAATCAATTTTAATTTTCAAATTAAGATTTTTTCTTTAAAATTTCAATTTTTTCAATTTTTCACTTTAGCTAGTATATTATATTTTGAATTCAACTGATTAAATTAGACGCATTCCGTGTACCCTAGTCCAGGGTGTGACTTGTTAACTATTTTTGCTTCAAATATATGGTCCTGAACCTAGTTTCTAAGTTATAGTGAAATTTTTCAGCTAGAAAAATAAGGATATTCCCGTCATTCCTAATCAGGCAAAAGTTACGCTACACATGGAAGGTCACTTGAAATAACGTTAACAGTCCCTGTAATAAAAAAATACTATTTTTAACCTTGATGGGTTCAAAAACCCAAAAAATCCTTAGGTAAAAAATATAAATAATTGTTTTCAATATAATTCAACAACATTCCTTCTTTTGTGAAATATTATTTGATTTTTTATGAAAATCACGAAATGTCAGCGTAAATTGTAACTTTATATAAATACAATTAATTATTTATAAGATCTGTAAGACGAAAAAGATTCAGTGAATTTCAGTTGGCGCACGGTGATGCTAGATTTGCGTATTTTGATTGGGTTAGATTTGTTTACGTTGATTAGATTAGCGTACGTTTCTTAAGTTGGATTTGGGTACGTTGATTTGGTTGGATTTGGGTACGTTGATTGAGCTGGATTTGCATAAGTTGATTGGATTGGATTTTCGTACGTTAACAGGGTTGGATAAAACATAAAATGTTAATTCCGCAAACCTATTTAATTATTTACACAAATTGTTTAATCCAGCTATTAAGCTTTTTATCAAACATGCAAAAAAATTAGATTTTTCCTTTTTGGGGATTTCTCAATATTTAATGGTAACTAGCTGAAGTGCCCGTCGTTGCCCGTGTGGGTTTCCTCAAGTTCAACAATGGTCTCGCCGTTTGGCAAGCTATAGCTAATATATTAATAAATATGAGCAAAGGGCTATATTATATAGATAACCTAAGGTTTAACCTTTCTCCGGATAATTACAATGTTAATATCTAACCAAACAGTCTAACTTTTGATATGTATTTACATAAAAACCTCTAATTTCACAAAACTATCATACTATTTTGTTATAGTTACTTCTAGCTGTGAAGTTTCTAACTGTATAATTCCTCCCACTAGTTTATATAGTTTGTGGTTACATTACATTATCTTTTCTCCAGGTACAGGGAACAGTAAAGACGGACAATCTATTCTTCAGGTTTAAGGTACAAGATAGACGGACAATCTATTCTCCAGGTTTAAGGTACAAGATAGACGGACAATCTATTCTCCAGGTTTAAGGTACAAGATAGACGGACAATCTATTCTCCAGGTTGAAGGTACAAGATAGACGGACAATCTATTCTCCAGGTTTAAGGTACAGTATAGACGGATAATCTATTCTCCAGGTTTAGGGAACAATATAGACGGATAATCTATTCTCCAGGTTTAAGGTACAATATAGACGGACAATCTATTCTCCAGGTTTTGGGAACAGTATAGACGGACAATCTACTCTCCAGGTTTGGGGAACAATATAGACGGATAATCTATTCTCCAGGTTTAGGGAACAATATAGACGGATAATCTATTCTCCAGGTTTAAGGTACAATATAGACCGACAATCTACTCTCCAGGTTTAGGGAACAATATGGACGGACAATCTGTTATCCTGGTTTAGAAAAACAGTATAGCCGGACAATCTATTCTCCAGGTTTAAGGAACAGTATGGACGGACAATCTATTCTCAAGGTACAGGGATCAGTAGGACGGGATAACTTAAGATATTAGCTGCGGCTATTTACATAGTACTCAATATTTAAAACTTTGATAAAAAATAAACGGAATTGTAAAAACGAAGTAATCGGGTTACCTTTACTCTTTAGAAGCGTAAATCAACATCATTATTGACTTCAATATTTTCTATAAAACTGCCCCCCACGCTTCTTTTTCTCTCTCCAAAAAATAATAAAAAGATGAGGGAGTTTTTAGCTATTTTCCCCCTTTCCACATAATCTGTATTTAAGAATCCAGATTTTGTTTCTAAATGTTTTAAGTGGTTCTGAACCATCATTAGTTTTCTCTTCTTTAGAAACATTTGGGATTTGTTTAAATATAAATTCTTTTTTCTCTTTCTCTCTCTACTCTTCATATTTATGTATTTATTAACAGAATATCATATATTTTTATTTGAATAAAATCTTTTGATTATCACTGTATTTCATTTGGATTAAGGTGGTTAGATTTTTGGTAGTTTAGGTATTGTTATCATTGGGTTACTAGCAGCTAGAGCTCTTCGTCCTTCAGTCTTGTAATCAAAGGTGCAGGCGTGTGTCTCCGGGTGCCTATGGAGAGCACAGAACTGTCCTTCACATCTACAGGAGAAACTAGAAGTTAGAGTTAACTTCTTCCTGCAATCTGAAACCTTGCACCGAGGTTTAGAAGATTTTTTCTTCTTTGGTCCGCTTAGAGGTCTGGTTTGGAAGGTTCGGTTATTGCTTTCTCCTGAGCGGGGAGTTCGAGGGGATTTAAAACCTTTTGGGGAAGCTAAAACTCGAGGAGTTTTAGCCGCAGAGTTTACTGCACGGGAGAGTTTACCTCTTCTACTATTAAGAAGTCTTCTTCCCATACCTCTGGGACCCGGAGATGAGTTTCTCAGATTTGAAAGGTTGGCTGTGTATGAATGCTCTAGGGGGTTGTTAATACTGTAGGGTTGAGGTTGGGTCGAAGTATCCCATACAACTTCTTCATCAGGCAAAGGCACTTTGAAATTATCACTGAGGTTTCCATTTCTTTGATCATCGATAACTGTTTTAATATCAAGGTCTGACATGGAGCTTCGCTCTCTCCTGCGTCTTGGTTTAAACTCGGATTCAACTAAACTTTTGTTAAGTCTTTCTCCGAGATCTATTGACGATTGAGATGCGTTTAGTAATCTATTGTGTTCTCTGGCAGGTTGATCTTTCACAAATAAGTCATAACAATCTTCGTCTTGGGTTCCAGAAACTCTACGTCTCCGACTCCGTGTAGTCGGAACCCTTGTGTTTTGTCTCCGGGTCGGATTATAACCCTCATTCTCATCATTCCTATTCAGTTCCTTTATATCCAAGGATATAAGTTTAGAGGAGGATTTGCTGGAAGAAGGTTTGGCAATACTTCTTCTTCCCTGGGTTGGATGAAGAACGGATTGACGTTGTGGAACAGGGTTTCCAAAAACAAATGTAGCCGGGGAACCTCGCTTCGACTCCGGAGGAGTGTCGGAGAATTGAATACTCTGTTCCTGTCTAAATTTCATTTCTGGAAAAATATTATTATTTTGACCAAGTCCCGTATTTTTGGCGGGTTTTCTACCCAGTTCTGTTATTGTTGTTATCTCCGTTTCTCGTCCTGAACCTTGTCTGCTCCCACCCCACCTGCTGGATAGGTTTCTTTCTCCGGAGATAGAAGGAAGATTCATAGAATCTATATCAGGAAGAAGATTATCATGAGATATTTTCCTCCGGACCTGAGATTTATTTACGCCTAAACTTCCCATTTTATTTTTCAGATCTTGCATTTTACTCATTGTGTTCGCATTCTCCTGGATCCTCTGTTGTACATCAGGATCATCCTGCTCCGCAAACAGGTTTCGGATTGAGGATCCACTCCAGGAATCAGAGAGTGGAGAATACGATCCGTCCGGTCTCTCCAGCACATGGTAGAGATTGATCTCATCTCCTTCTCGGAACACAAGAACAGTAACGTGTCCTCCTTCAGGGATCTGTCCTAGAAGGTCTTCTTTGTTTCTCTCCACAGCGTCCTGGATTTCACGAGCAGTTTCTTCAGGAAGAGATATTCTTCTTGTGTTAATGGGTCCACCGCGCATGGCCAGGACGAGTTTTAAAGTTGCTCCGTCAGGTACATCACAATCCTGCAGGGTTGAATTATTCGGTAGCTCCAGGTTATTAAAGAGTAGATGCTGCTGGTTCACTGGAATACCCTCAAGCTGCTGAAGCTTTGCTTTGATAGCAATCACGGTTTCTCCTGGAGATATTCTCATCTCGAAACTAGTCCCGGTCAAGGTTTCGATGAAAAGGTAGAGGAAATCTCCTCCAGAGGAAAAATATCCGGACTGATCAAACTCCGAGTCAAATTCTTCATCGGAGAGGTTGGAATCCGACATTATCATTTCCCTCTCCCCCACCCTCAACCCTCTCTGCTCTAGCTACCTCATTGCAATAGGTTTGACAGGTTTGATTTATCAGATAGTGAATCGATTGCTAAACTTTACAGGTTTCACACCTTATTCACATTCTACCGGAAATTGTTCTATTTTACCGGATCTAGTAATACAAGTGTCTTTGTTCTCTCAAAATTGAAAGGTTCTCCATACCCTGAGAAACCCTCTTCGATTCCGTGTACTCCAAGTACTGGGTTTAACTGAGAAAGCTGTGACCTTGTTGTCTTGTTCTAGTAAACTAAAACTCTGTGGAATTCCAACCAACGGAGGTTTCAGTGCACTCTAAAGGTAGAGCAGGTAATCCTTCCTACTAATCAGACCACAACGGAGTAATTAACCAAACCTCATCTTACTCTTTGTAAAGCTACGAATTCTAAAACATTTTAATTTCCCACATTTTGCGAAATTTTAACCTTTCCTGTTTTAAATCTAAACATGTGAACTTTGTTTGTTTAGAGAAGGATTTCTCCAACTTTTTACTGCAATAATACACTTTCAAGCTAGCTGCTTATTCTAGCACCCACCCCCTAAAAAGAAACATTGTTAAGCTCTTCTTAATAATAAAGCTTAACTTTGGTGGACTTTCATTATTATTTACGTTTTTGCTGTAATAAATCTACTTAATTAATTTCTGTTCACTACTCTCTACTACTTTTATCATCAATCCTTCTTACACAATTAAAGTTTAATGAATTTCCCTTTGTTCTAAATTTCTTAGGATTTTAAGTTTAAAAAAATAAGTATTGGAGGTAAGTGTGAAAACGTAAAAAAGCCTCTTTTTTGGGATGCTTTGGAAACTGACCTAGAGGACACAAAACAAAAGGGTTTCTGAAAAAATTGTTAATGTTAGAAAACCCTTCTGTCAGTTTCCTCTATGTCGGATTGAAAATATACAGGGTGAGTAAAAAAAACCGGGATTATCGATGTTATTCACAAAGTTTTCGAAATTGTGGATTACATTGATCTAAAATCTATTTTTCTTATTCCTATATCTTTGCAATCTGATGGTGTGAACCTTTGATACTTAAAACTTAGATAATTTGATCCAACAGAATTAAAATTTTGAAATATCTAAGGTCTACGACATTGGGTTGAAAAGATATAGGTATCAGAAAATCAGAGTTTGTGGCAAAGACTTGATTGATTGGTTGATAATTGATTTGATAACAATTTGATTCCACTTCCATTTTGCGAATAATTGATCAATATGTGAGAACTTAATCTATCTAATGGTAAAATTGTAACTTTTTCTTCTTATTTCTGTCCAATAATGATTTCTTGTCTTTTAAACTATAATTTTTCTGGTGACATAAATAAATTGTGCAAAGTGCTTAAAATTTAATATATTTAGTATTTAGTTTACTATATACATTCACCTTTGCTAAACAAATATAATCACATGTGTAGTAATATTTATTGTGAAATGTAGCGCACTGAAATAAACATTTAATAATGATTTAAAAGGCTGACTAATGATTAATAAAAAGCATTTAGACTAAATAAATATAGAAAGCTAAAGATATTTCATCTAGATTATTTCTTCTTATTGGATGAAAACTATATAATAAAGCTCTTCGTTCATATATATATTTATATATAGTATTTTCAACTTTTTCAGTTTAAATATACATTTTAGATGTTTAAGTATATTTCTTCCAAGACAAAATGTTTCATGGGTCTAACCCAATCATCAGTTGGAAAAAAATTTATATATATATATATTCCCTATTGCCGGCTGACATTTTTTTTAGGGTACCCATGGCCGGGTCCCAGGGGTGACATAGCTAAATATTTTTGTTTTAATTCCACGGTCAATACCGGTCATTTAAGCAGAAATTATGGTTCAAGCGCGGGTATATTATAACAATATAATTCAGGGCAACGCCGGGCACTCCAGCTATTAATACACATATCTTAAATGTTTCCTACAAAAATGTTTTTAAGAATGTAAGAATGATTAACAAGAATGTATACTTATTTGTCTTTGCAACTTATTATTGGTGATATTAAACCAAAATAAAGTTGACTGATAAGTCTCTGGCAAGGGTTAAGGTACAATTTTGGAGATGTATAAAAGTTACCAATGATCAATTTTTTTCAAACTTCAAATATTAAGAGACCTCTGCGAGACATTATATAATCAGTAATTTTTAGACTCTGTTAACCTCCGTGTGCGGAGCACTGTAAGGTCATAAAGTTTGGAGTTTACACTTTTAAAATCACCTTAACTTTTTTTGATATTTGAGTTATCGATCTAATTTTAACGTCATCAAATAGGTAATGAAAAAAGGCTTTAATTGTTTTTTTTTCATGAAATAATCGATAAAATTAATTTTATTGTTTGATATTTTCCAATAAAAAACACGGAGGTCTACAGAGTCTAAAAATTACTGATTATGCAAATGTCTCAATAGGTCTCTTAATTTTAAAAGTTTGAAAAAAATCAAAGATGGCGCCGACTAGGGGTGGCTGATTTCATATGGACTGAACCCATTGTATTTTCAAGATTATATCAAAGTTTTATCCAGCCTTTTTAAAAAGAAAATAAGATTTATATAATGTTAGCGGGAATTTTTTTTGTTGATTATAGTTTCTATAAAGACGACATACTTTACCCTTCCAAATAATTTACTTGATCCGTAATTCGTCCCAACATATCTCATTTTGGTTTAGATATTGAGATGTTCTAAACTCGAAGATAATGAGTGATGATTGCTTTTCAGATAGAAAGTTTTAAAATTTAAAGTAGCAGCATGCAGAGATAACTTCAAGAGTAGTTTTACTAAACTTTACAAGAAAACTTGTATTCTTGCTTTTTGATGGGTCTTGTTTACAAAACATTATTTCATGCATCTTTAATGCTTTTCTACTCAACTAAACAGACGTTGTGTGAGGTGTATATATGCCCTTTCCCCCTTTGGAAGCATCTGAACTTCAAATTAAGAATAGATAAAGCTTTTTTCTCTCGACATCAAACAAAAAAATCAATGTTTTGCTTTTCTTTTTTTGTTGATAAATATCATCCACAATCTCAGGTTTTATAATTGCTCAAGAGTGTGTATAATAGTGGACGTTAGATTGGTAGATAGATAGGAAGAGAGCGAGAAAAGGTGATAAAAGATATTGAGAGAGAGAAAGAGTCTTAGAGATAACCTATAAAAAAAGAGAAAAATTGAGAAGGGGAAAGAGAGAGAGAGATGGAGTGAGAGAAAGAGCGCAAGAGGGAGTAAAAGTGTGAGTAAGAAAGGGAAAGACAGAGAGAGAGAGAGAGTACCAGGAGGACGTGAAGAGATCAATAGAACCAGCTGAAGCCACGTGATCGAATCATTCTCCTCTACTCCTCCCTCCACTTCTCAACTAGACCCGGAGTACTGTCATGGGAACCCAGAACCTCACTCCTCTTGCAAATATCTCTAGGCTAGATGTTTAGATTCGGGTTCAGATATTACCTGGATCCTTCATCTAGCATCATTTACCTGGTTCGGTAGATATGTTCTCTTTATCCTGCTCCAGGACCAGATATCTAACTGTACAATAACAAAACTTATTAAGATTTAGCTACTACCTGAGAACCAAGAAAAAGCGTCCTAACCAACGGATTTAAGACTTCTAGTTAGAGATGGCCCAGCCCCCGCCCCGAAAGGGGGCGTACAACAAGTTCGTGATGAACCTCCACAAGGAGCAGTTTAATAAGCTCCAGGCTAAGAATCAGCAGGAGCTGGATCTTCTAGATGATATCAGGTATTGAGCGCTTAACTGATATAATCACTCCTTCGTTTTACTAATTATTTAATTAATTATAATTATATAATTATTTAACTATGGAAGTGAACCAACCACTACATTTAAAAAATGAAAAAAAAACAATAAATAAAAATTGAATTATTTGTTGTTTTAAAACAATTTTATATATTTTTCTAAACTATAAAACTTTGGTAAAGCCTTACTCCGATTGTTCAGATTTAAAATTAAAAAACAATTATTTATTGTTTGTTGTCATGTCGTCAGAGGGCGTGCACTTACAGGAACTTAAAGGAACTTCTCTAACTTTATAATCCCTATAACATACATACAGGTTAAACCACACAGCAATAAGGACCAGTATTTTATGACGCCCAATCACTCTTTTTAACTTTGACAATTTGAAGGTTCAATTAAATCTTCTTCTTTAAATAAACTATATCAACTGTGTGCTGAAAGAAAGGAAAAAATCAAGTTCCCAATCACCGGAAACTATGGATGTAAACAAATAGTCTCTGATCGAAGCCTTAACCTTTGTGGGTATACCTATAGTTTGCAACCTTATGTTATTTACCTCATATTTTTTTAATATCTAAGGTCTACGACATCAGGTTGCAATGATATAATCATAGATTAATTAAAACAACAAACAGGACACTAGATGTCGTCTTTCAAGATTTAGGGGTTTTTCATTCACAATAACCCTGAGACAGAAACACAAAGGAGTTACACGCAGTTAGCGTAGATTTACCAGACATAGAGAGTCTGTTCTACGCCAAATGCGAGTAACTCCTTTGGGGCTCTGTCTCAGGGTTATTGTGAACGAAAAACCCCTAAATCTTGAGAAAACTACATCTAGTGTCCTATCTGTCATTTTAATTTATCTATGGATATACGGAAAATTGTGTTGTAAATCTTCAAATGTAAGCAAAATCAAGCAATTTTGAAGTTTTAAATTATTAAACATGGAGAGAAAGTTTTAAATTTTTATNCTCTTTTTTTCTATATACTTCGTGTTTAGAAGATATTACTGTGGCTAGCTGGAACTTATTAATTAAACTATAATTACACAATCAATAAAATAATCTAAATATTATTATTTATTAATGGAACTATTAAGAACTAATTTCTTACATTACATGGGATATTAGTTCCAAAATTAATATCTAACACTGAGTGTTAGAAATGGGCCAAATCTGCAAAGTTATCTTTTTCAAGAGTATATATCTTTAAATCCAAGACGAGTAAAACAAAATTACACCATATATTTATAAATAAAATGGCTCAAACTATATATTGAAACAATTTAAATGTCAATTTTAAACTAATAATAAGTTGTGAGAATTAGTTTTTGATGAGTCTTGATTTCATTTTCGAACATATCACTATTTTTGAAACATTTTTCCGGATTTCAGCTCATGTCACGTTTTCGGAACATATCCTGGTTTTGAGACAATTACCGGAATTCATATCAATGTCAATTTCTAAGCATTTACGCACTACGTAACAACAAAAAGATTTTTTGATAAGGTAGAATATAAACAACATAGAAAATAAAACAAACTGTTCTTTTATAATTTAAAAATCATTAATGCAGCATTGTGAGAAATCAAAATATTAATATCATTTGTTCTTATAGATTTAACTAGAAATGGGGGAAACTGTTTGTTTAAAATGCTTGAAAATATATCATCGATATTCTCTAATTTAACAGATAAAATGCGGAAACTTAGATTCTAGAAATAATTCAGAAGTTAATTTAGTCTTCATAAGATAATTTCTGTTTTCACTGATTTATTTTGTAAGGGAAAAGTGGGGTTTGTCTCGAAAACGCGACAATGTTTCAAATTCAGGATATGTTCGAAAATGAAAAACATTGTCTTGAAAACGGTCAAGAGATTTAATATAACAAGAACTCCTAATGTAATTTTGATTTTTTTTTAAAGTTTAAAATTGGAAATTGTTGCCCTCGTCATGATTAATAAATGTTGATTATAGTTTTTATTATCGACTTTTACCCTGGATATGGGCTGGGATCCCAAAAACCCCAGTCTTTCAATTTGTTCCCATTTCTAACACTCAGTGTTAGAAATGGGCCAAGTGTTAGTTTTGGAACTAATGTCCCCTGAATATTCATCATGTTAAATTCTATTTTATATATTTTTTTTAGAAACTTTATGAAGCAGAAGGCTGCAATAGAAAAACATTACGCGGAAGGTAATTTTTCCTACTTTACTTTTATTTTTATTTTTTCTTGATTCTTTTCCTCAGATTAACCTAAACATTTCCTTTTGTTTATCCTACAAGGTCAGCCATCCATAATCTCTTTCATAATTCCATTATCTTTAAATATCTTATAATCTAGAATCTAGAAGATTAAATTTTGTTGAATTATAAATAAACTTTTTGGAGATAGATGCTGAGTATTTTGTTAGGTGCTCTGGCAAAATTAAGTCTTTGCCTTAAACTCTGATTTTCTAATCCCTAGATCTTCACAACCCAATGTCGTAGACCTTAAATATGCCAAACTATGGAATCTGTTAGATCAGTTAATCTAAGTTTGAAAAATAAAAAAGGTTTACACGATAAGTTTGCAAAGGTATAGAGATTAAAAAATAAGAGTTTGTGACTATAACTCAATTCCTTTTGAAATATTAAAATCTTAAATTTCTTACAATGCATTAATTTTAGAATTTTTAATAAATCTTGTCATCCTGAGATCTTACAGCTTTCTCCAGTTAAATCTAAAGGTTCCTAATTATCCTGAAACCTTCCATTATCTCCAAATTAACATGTACTCTCAATTTTCATTTACCTTTCTAGATCCTTCCTTAAACCTTCCATTATCTATTCATCTATCATGTAAGTGTAATCTCAAGTGACCCTCTATGCAAAAATGGCAATTCCCGATTCACAATGGTACCCCTAAAAACTTTTTCTTATCAAGTATGAATTAGATATTAATGTTTATAATTTTGAAAACTGATCATTTTCAATTGTGTTTTCTCTACAAAAGTAACGCATTTCTACTGTATATAGTTTATATTTTATAATATTTTTTAATTAATTTGTTTGTTTCTCTTGTCGCTTGCGCAACTATCTAAGAATGCCGCACACCACTCACAATTTTCGAAATCCATTGAAAACGTTTTCTAAAAAAATAAAATATTATAAAATATAAACTATATACAAATGTGGCGAAAGATAATCGATGACTATAGGTTGTAATATCTAAATGATTTGTTTGAAATTAAATTGATTTTTTACGGTTTAAGTAGTATGTTGTAGTTTTCTCAATTTGTATGGCCGCTAAGTTATTCGGTATGAGACGTCTTTAACAAGTTTCTCCTTATAGACGCAACAGATAGAAGTAAGATTAGTAGCGATCAAAAGCGCTTTTTTATCGCATTAAGCCTATACCCTCTTTCATTTTTCGTGAACACTCCCTTTAAGGAAAATTATTATATTTAAAATATGCAGGGAATTACCTAAAATTCGAAAATTGTTTTAAACTGCATGGATGTTGAGAATTTCGTACTTTCTTGGAAGAATATTGCAATTTATCTTGTTGTTGCCAAGAATGCATTTTTGTGTAGTTTCCAAAAATCATGCAAAAGTTCTCAATGCAATTTTTGCAATACAAGTGATTTCAGTATCGTTTAACAGCAAATCTCCTGAAAACTAAAAATATATTTTGCATTAAAACCATACATTAAAATTTGTCATAATCCGAAAACAAGTAAATGTTAAAAATTCGCGGAATTACTGTTACGGCTTTCAACCCAGGAAATCTTCTAGTTTTGATTCTACACCCAAGAAGAAGAAAACTTGTAACGAATTTAAACCATTATTGTCTCATCATTAGTTGCCTAGAAAATGTAAAGGTGCTTGAAAACAATAAAGATTTCAATCTGAAATATAGGTTACTTTAGTTTAATGTGGATTGTACAATGTTCCTGATTTCCAATTGTTACTTGGTGAATTATCTAAAATCAATTAACCAATTGTGCAAGAAAGCTTAATGTCACGTAGGAAACAAATATTTTTTCATACGTTTTATTATTATAGTTTGACCCTCATGCCTCCATTTCTTATTTTTAAATAAAATTTTGGAATCTAAAAATTTAATAACTGACTTAAATAGATTCTGATCAATAAATCCACAATTCATTATCATAGAAAAACTGCAAATAAAAATGATAAATTTTTATTTTAAAAAATAATGACAACTCCATCGTTTTAGCTCAGACAAAAAAATGAACGGTATTATTGTGAATAGTCTTTTAAAACTATTTTTGCAAATAATTTTTTTTTTCACAATAACTTCTTTGGGCGTCTGCCTCAGGGTTATTGCGAACGAAAAACCCCTAAATCTTGAAAAGACGACATCTAGTGTTCTAACCGTATTGTTATTAATCTATGCTCTGAACAAAAAGTAACACAATGTGGACATGGTCCTCAAATTGAAAATTGATAAATGATTGTTTTTCGCGAATGTTCATTTCGATTAGTTCCGTTTTGTCTTGCGTGATTTTGTTTTCCTAGCCTATTATTTTTCTAATTTTTTAAAATGAAAAAATCAGGGGATATTATAATAAAGTAATATTTAGAAATAATAAATATTAATCTGACTTTATCTCGGAAAAAAGAAAGGAGAAGAGAGAATTGTTTAAAAACCTTGAAAGAAAACTGTTGAAACTTAATTTTTTTAACATTTTTATTTCTACTTTTGCACGAAACATTTTCAATGGTTTGTAGAAACATGAAAAAAGTAATATTTATTTTATTAATATTTTCATTCTTTAAGTCAAAGTCAAAGTCAAACTTTAAGTCGAGAAAACTGTAAAAATAGAATTTTATGGTTTCAAATTTTAAAGCTTGATCCATAAAATTTTAGATTTTCAAATATTTAAAAATGGATTATTTTAGATTACTGCAAATTGTGCAAAGGGCTTAAGGGGCTTCAATCCAATATTAAAGTTTTGTTTTGAAGAAGAATTAAAAATTGATTAAACGTATTGTAAACTTACACTTGAGGAGAGATTCTTTAAGTAAGGATAATTAGTCCCCTTTTCTACCTCCTTCAGCGTTAAAGGACTTCACAACAAACTCTGATTTTCTAAACCATTAATCTTTGTAACCCAATGTCGTCGACCTTAGATATTAAAGCATAAATTCTGTTAGATCAAATAATATGGGTATTAAATATCAAAGGTGTACACCATCAGGTTGCAATTCATATGAATTAGAACATTTAAATTTGTGGGGGAAAAAATCAATTCCTTTGTCACTTTTTTGACAACCCTCGAGCGTAAATATTCAAGTTTAAAATACAAAACGAAGTTAGCTTCTCGATTTCAATTATTGTTAACGAATAAGCGGTGAAAATCGTTTTAAAAAAGCTACACTTGAAATAATAGCCGTATAGTTCCTTTACATGCTGCAACATTCAATATCTGGCTTATAATTTTGATTAAGATTCCAGGCTTTTGAAAAATAATAAAAAAAACTTAAAAACACGATCTTTTAAGTTTTAAGCTTCGCGCTATGGTGATACGTCATATCCCTAGTAAATTAACTAAAGAGCTAATAATAGGAAAAATTGTTTTTAAATTCTTACATGCAACTGAGCTCTTTCTTTACTCTTGGTTGAAAACTAGAAACAAGAGAAGTCGTAAACCAGCTTTACAATGTTCAACTTGCAAGTAATTGTGTCCAACCCCAAACCATCACATTGTATAATGAATTTTATAAATTTCACCATAGATACATAATTAAGGCTTTAATTTTTTTATTACAGTAATTTGGACCAACATATAGGATTGTTAAACAGTAAAAACAACCGTAGATGTTTAAATTTTTTAAATTTAAAGATATGTTAAGGGAAAAAATTTGAAAATGTTTTTTCAATGACTTGCAGTGAGAACCAGAAAACAACGGAATAGGAAGACGACAATATAGCGGTGCTTAAGTGTATTTAATGTTGTTACAAAGCAAATAGTTTTACTACAGTTATTAAATCACTTATTAATTGAGTATGAAAGTCATCTCTCTACTCCAGAGTTTTCTCTGCTTCATACTCTTGGGCGTTCTTAAAGTTATAATTTGATTCTAAAAGTCGAATTCTTATTCGATCAGAGTTGTTTCACTAATTCACGCAAGGTTTCCTTTGATGATTAAAATCTATTTTTCAGCTTCATTAGAAAAATAATTCATTAGAAAACATTAATAGATTTTTTCATAATTGCAGGACTTCTAAAACTGACAAATGTGTACGCGAGTAAGAAAATTGCTACTATAGAGGATCTCCCTGAGAACGCCAGAGTTAACGAACACGAACATAACATCTACCAAATATGGAGAATTGTTTTAGGTAAAATATTCTAAAATTCAAATATTTCCACAAATAAAGTTTAAATGAAAAAAAGGTTTCCTAAATTGTTTCGTGTCATGCCTTGATTAACATTATATGAAAATACTGCAGGGGTAAATCCTTGATTTAAAAAATTGAAAGTGCTTTCTTTTTTTCTCCAAGTGAAATAGAATTTAGATAAATCCTGAAAATAAAAATCCAAGAAAAAGAATTTTTATTTTTATAAATTTTCCTGATTCAATATTTATCAAAACTTTGTGGAAAAACATCAAGATAAAAAGCTAAAAACTATCTTTATATTATTTTCTTTTAAGCTTTCATATATCACATGAATGAAAAACTTTTTTAATACAATTATTTTTTCTGATATACTGTACATATATATGAATCCAGGTCACGCGTGAAAAACTGTTTTAATAACATTACTTTGTGTGATAATATTGCACATGTATCATTCAGCCAGCTCAGCACACTGGGTTCTGGTTGACCGGACGGGCTGGTACGAGTAAATGTGTGTTTAGTGTAATTACACTACAGTTAGACTAGAACCAGCAAACTGTGGAATGGGAAGACGATATTAAATCAATTATTAAGTGCATTTGATGTTGTTACGCAAAAAGTTTACAAGTAACTTATCAAATCACATATTAAGAGAAATAGGTCTATATACACTGCACAATTTCTGTGCTCATATTCATGGGACTATTTGAAGTCACAACTTGAGTCTTAAAGTCATCTCTCAGAGCTTTCTGGTTCTCACTGTATAATGGTAAATCCTGGTTCGGTTCATGCAACGAATGGACAAATAGCAATACTCAAGTGTATTTGATGGTGTTACAAAGCAAATAGTTTTGCTAGACACTTATTAAATTACTTTTTTGTGAAATGGGTCTGTTTACACTGCACAATTGCTGTATTTCATGGTTATAGAAATTTTTAAAGTTAAAACTTGATTCTCAAAGTCGTCTTCCTATTCCAGAGTTTTCTGCCTATCACTGTAATTAAAGGCATATTTTTTAGAGAGAATCAAGTAAGAAAATATTGGACCCCTAAAGTTAAAATGTTTAATTGAATTTGTAAAAAAAGTAAACAAATACTAAACCAATATTCTAGGTTTTCTATAACTTAATATAAAGGCTGTTGTTAAAGCTCTGCTTTATTTAACCCTCTGAATACATTGATTTATTTAGAATACATATTATACATATCTTTATATATTTATATTACATATTATAGCTTTTACAATTCATTATTTTTTATGCTAAAAGTATGACTACCCAAGATGGATAAACAACCCGATATCCTTGGATACGAAAAGTTAAAAATTTACTAAATTCATTTTTTTTTCAAAAAACTGTTGATCAGAACAATGAGACAAATTAAGAAACTGATTATTAAATTATCATTTCGAAAATTATTACTGAGACAGTGTTGAATTACTTTTGAATTATTATCAAATTATTATTTAATTGTTATTGAAAGAATTATTATTTAGATGAAAACGAAAAGATCTCGAAGGCAAGACTGGCCGCGGTTCAAGTGTTTATGGAGAAAATATCAGATGATGCTAAGAATGTTAGGTTTGGGAAAAATATGCACGCAAAACGGTCCCTTGATCGCCTTGGTGTAGTTCAGAGAGATGTCCAGGTATCAGTGAGTGAAGTAGATCGGAGTAAACGAATCTATTTCTCAGAGGAATCGGATGCTCTTGATGTAGCGACCAAAGCGCAAGATGCTGACCTGAAAGCGAAAGGAAAGAAACGAGATGTTAAAAGTCTCTTTACCTCTAAAAGCTCGTTGAAGAAGCAAGCAGTGAAGATGTCTGCAAAGCAAGATGAATCTGATATAAAATCTACTGGTGCTAGAAATGATTATATATTGTCTCTAGTCACAGCCAACGCCCACCAGGATAGATATTTTCATAACGATCTTCAAGCTACAGTCCGGGAAATGGAGGGAGGTATTTACGAGAAGATTTCAGAATATCTCGGAACCTTTGCTCGAACAGAACTTTTAACCTGCGGTGCCATGCAGAATAGTTTTACAAAGATTAAAGATGGGGCTGAAACCATTAACAGAGAGTACAATTATAGATGTTATCTCAAGGCATTCTCTTGTCTTGGCGACCATGTCCAGTACGCCTTTGAAGCTGTTGAGGGTGATACAATAACAACAATAACACCTTCGGAGCATGATGCTGGATACTCGCTCAACTATGAAGCCAGGAGTATTGCTGGAAAACTGAACCAAGCAGTGAAAACTATTAGAGCTTTCAGGAAAAGAATAAAAGCTTGTCAGCATCACAAAGCTAAAGGTTTGAAGCATGAGCCTAATGATCCATCAGGACCAAATCTAGATGATAAAATCGAAGAGCTTGAGAATTCTATTAGAACAGCAGAAACGGATAAAGTAAAATGTGAAGCTCGTCTGAACAAGCTAAGGGAAGGTGGAGTAGCAGTTGACGACTACTTGGATAAAGCAAGTCTTGAAGCTCTTGAAAAGGAATCGGATGAGCAGATGAATACTAAAGACTGGAATTCTAGTTCCAACGGAACATCACAGATGGAGACACCGGTAGCCGAGGAGCCAGCGGCAGAGGCGCAGGAAGAGGAGAACGCTGTTGAAAATGGTGAATGGGATGGGACCAGTGAAGATAATGTTAACTGGGCGGAGACCGAGGAAGCACCAGCTACTGAAGATCAAGAGAACTGGGCTGCTAATGAGAACTGGGCTGAAACAGAAACTGAGGACTGGGGTCAGGAAGGCCAGAAAGGCCAGGCAGAGGCTCCCCAGAATGATGGAGCTAAAGAGATAGATCCAAACGCTGAAGTGTGGAAGGCCCTAGTACTCTTCCCCTTCGCAGGGCAGAACGAAGATGAGTTGACCGTCGCTGAGAACGAAGAAATTGACGTGATGGTGAAGGAATGTGATGAGGAAGGATGGTTGATGGGAAGGAATAAGGAAGGAGTTCGTGGTTACATTCCATACAACTATATTGAAGTTTACGATTTTGTCATGGTTGATGACTCCACCCTTCCCGTACAACACGCTAAAGCTAGTTCCAACGCCGGTCAAGTTGTAAGACAGCCCTCAGTAGAGAGTACAGCAAGTTGGGGGTTCCCTGGAGCGCAAGCAATGCCTGTTATCCTGGAGCAACCTCCTCCAGATCTAGGCTCAAGTTCAGAAGAGGAGAGCGATGAAGAATCCCCCTTTGGTAAGTTTGAGGAAGAGATTAAAGATAACTTTAACATACCTTTCTTTAACTTCAGTATTTTTAAGCCAAAGTTCGAAACTTCTAACTTTATATTAACTGAAAATCTTAGCTAAGTTTAAGATTAATTTCGTAATTGAAACAATTACTTGTATGAATGTACTTTTTAACGAGTATTCAAAGAATACCCTGAGTTTGTTTCTCCAGAGTTTTTCTTTCCCTAACGATACCCTTTAAACCCTTATCAAATCAATGATGTGCAAGCTATCGTTGCTTTTCTAGCTTGATAATAGTTTTGTTCTCATAATTTCCCCCATAGTTTCTGTTGCAAGAAATCCGCAAATCACTTTTACAGAGAAACCACATTTAAAAATGATGGATACCTCATTAATTCTTGATAAGACAAAGCTTTTAATTTGATTTTGATTTGAACATTCCCCTTGGTCTGTAAACCATTGTGATTTAAAGGTTTTAAGCTATCAAGCAAAAATCTATGAGAACTTTGCCAATAACTTTTTTAACCCAAAGCTAACGAATAGTGCTTTGTAGTGCCTAAAATGTACATGTAACCGGTAATGTCTAGTAGTTGAACTGAGAATGTAATATTTGTGGAGAAATATTTTAAGATTCATTTAAAGATGTAAAATTACTGAGTTTGAGCGCAAAACCGACCTTCAAAATCATCCATTTTGGTGGTTACGTTTTGAAAATCGATTTTTTAACGACGACAAAAAATTCTACGGTAAACTAATAATTTGTTTAGGAACAGGTTGAGAAAATTAGAATTAACTCTTATAATCAAAAATAACTAATCTTATTCATTTATTAGTTTCTGTAATCTCTCATTGTTAAAAAATATTTTCTGTAGATTTTCTGGAACTTGTAGAATTTGTAAAATTCTGCGAACAAATTCGTAAAGAATAAGAAATTCAATATAATGATGAAAAAGAAATAATTGATTCTAATATTGATTTAGTGACAAATTTCTATTGAAAAATATGTTTCTAAACATTTAATTAGTTTACTGTGCATTTTTGATACATTTTTCGTCGTTGTTGCTTGATAATTTTGAAAAAAATCGATTCTCAAAACGTAACCACCCAAATGGATGATTTTGAAAGTAGACTTTGCTCTCAAACTCAGTATTTATACATCATTAAACGTCTCAAATAAATCCTAAACAAATTCTCCACAAAATTACATTCTCAGTTCATTTTCCATACATTGCCGGTCACTCCATTTAAAAATTCATTAGACTTTTTATAAGCAGGCTGAATCTATGTGAAACAGAGGCTCGCTTAAAATTAAGTCTATATACAAACCCTTTAAATGGACTGTATAGGAAAAATGAAAGGGGATATAGGATGAAACCTGAGAATATCAGGAGTTGAACGTTACATATAAAATATCGATCTGATGTTCCTGTCTCGAGAAATTGATATAAAATTGTGTCAAATTTACACAAAAATTCATATGTATGCAATTTTGTATAAAAGTTGTAGTATTAAACAGATCATATTCAACAAATACACATCAATCTGAAAACGATTATTACTTATGGTCCGTATAGTCCGTATTAAGCAACCAAACCCTCAACCAATGGCAGTGCAGTATACTGGTCACGTGATATGCGTCTGTATCATGTGACAACTATACTGCACTGCCATTGGCTGAAGTTCTGGTGACGTAATACGGACTATGTGGACTATATGTAATTATATTATCAATTATATCTATTCAAAATATTCAAAATTGCGTATTTGTTGAATATGATCTGTTTAATACCACAAATTTTATACAAAATTGCATATATATGAATTTTCGTATAAATTTGACACAGTTTTATATATCAGTTTCTCGAGACAGGATTATCAGATAGATGTTTTATGTGTATCGTTAAACTCCTGAGATTCTCAGGTTTCATCCTATACTCCCTTTTATTTTTCCTTTACAGTCCCTTTAAGATATTTACAATATCTCATATATTCATTGATTCAATATCTTATTCTCGTTATTTTTGTAAAAAAAAAAATTTGAAAACAAATTCGGAATTAATGTAAATTAATTTAAAGACGTAAAAAGTTTCAAAGGAATAGAATAGAATTATTTAATAAGGAAAACAAAGTTGAAATTTTTTCTTATATCTTTTTTCTTCACAATACGAGTTTCCACTTTTTTAAAGATTTTTCTAGACTTCGTTTAAAATCTTTTTTTTCAAATGTTTTGTTTTAAACTAAAACCCATTACTACAAGTGAAAAATTGTTTCGTTATTGTTTATTTTGAAAAATTAGATTTCTGTCAAAAATATTTCCATTTTCTTATTTTCATCTTAAACATTCAGTTGCAAGACATTTTACCAAAGTTTTTTTTGCTTTTGTTTGTAATTTTCTTTAACTTAATTTCTTTCAAATATTTCAGAAAGTCTATTTTTCAAATCCCTATATCTTTGTTAAATTTGATTTGATTTCATATTAGAGTTAATTGTTTTATAACTTCAGATGGAAAAGATATAAGGATGCGAAAATTGGAGTATATGGCGAGAAATCAGTTTTTTGCTTTTATACAATCCTGCTCGCCAAATCATTTCATCAACTTTTAACTTTTTTGGAGAGATTGAATTGTTGCATTCTATTGTATAAAAACCTATATTTGTATTTAGGTATGGGACCACCTCCTGCCCCGCCCCCACAAATAAGTATCCTTGAATCTGAACCTCTCCAGGTTAGAAAACCTGGTCGACCCATCTCTATCCAGTTCGGGTCCTCCATGGATTCTGAGTACTGTAAAGCTTTGTATGATTACGAAGCCAATGGAAGTGATGAACTAGGGTTTAAGGAGGATGAGGTTATACACATTGTCTCCAGGAGTCCGAACGGAGTTGAGGACGGGTGGTGGATGGGAGAATTAAACGGGAAAACTGGTCTTTTCCCGTCTATAGTTGTTGAAGAGTGTCAGGCAAACGGGGATGATTGGTCTCCAGATGTATCACTAGCTTCACCAACTAGTATTGGACCTCCTTGCTTCTCTCCTCCACATCTAGACGATGGTCCTGATTTACCTCCTCTGGGTCCTCCTGGACTACCCGCCCCACCTGGTCCACCAGGTCGTCCTACAGACCTACCCAGTGGTCCACCTCCCCTACCACCTCCATCATCTTCACTCCCTGGACCTCCTCCAAGGCCAACAGCAGCAGCTCCAGGAGTAAACAATTCTTCTAATGTGCCTGAACCTGCAGCAGCCTCTGGTCTCATGCTTCCTGAGACTATGATAACAATCACCAACCCAACTCCACTTGTAGAGAACTCAGATGATAACCGAGAGGAAACTCCTGTCTCCTATCATGTAGAAAATCCTTCCTTCTCCATGAATATGAGTGATGACAAGAAGGAGCAGTATAACACCAACCAGGTCGCAGCTCCGGTAGAGATAGAGATAACGTGTGATGATACTCCTGCTGCAGATGAAGATGAGGAGGAGGAGATTCAGTCCAAACCTGAACCTGTTGTCTCTGATTGCCTTACATTTACGGAAATCATGGTTACAGCACCAACTCCAAGGACACAGTCTCCTGTGGAAGAAGAAGTGAGCTTTCCTGGTCTGGAGAAAGAGAATGTAGAGATCAACGAGGAGAATATTGCTGCTGCCATGGGAGCTGAACCATCACAACAAACTGAACCAGTAGCAGATAACCAGGATTTGGGCTGGGCCAGTTTTCAGGTAATTAAAAATATTGTAAGATTATGAAAACTAAAACAAATATTGATAACTGCCATATGTAGGAGCCTGTTGTAGATGAGGATGAGGCGAAACAGGATGGAGCTGATTGGGCCAATTTTTCAGCCCCGGAACCCGAAGTTCAATCTGAACCTACCCAACAAGCCAAACAAGAGTCCACACTTGAGGATCAAATTGAAAAAGAAGAAGAGAAAAAAGAACTCCCTGCACACATTCTTGATGATCTCGTGGACTCAGAAGAAGAAGAAGAGGAGAAGAAAGCTCAAGTTGATGCAGAATTTGAAGTAGAAGAAGTTAAGAAGAAGAACCATCTTGTTGATACAGATTCTGAAGAAGGGAAAGAAATGAAGAAGAACGATCAAGTTAATACAGATGATTCTGAAGTAGAGGAAGTTAAAAAGAAGAAAGATATTGTTGATACAGATTCTGAGGAAGAAGAAGTTAAGAAGAAGAAAGATATTGTTGATACAGATTCCGAGGATGAAGAAGATACGAATAAGAAGAAAGATCATGTTGAGGCTGTTACATCATCTGACTCTGAGTCTGAGGCTGAGCCTGGCAAGGGTGATCCTGACTCCTCTGACACTGAATCCGGAAATGATCTGAGCTCGAGTCATCTTTCTCCAAGAAAATCCACAGATTTAAATAAAACTGAAGACCTTGAACCCAAACAGCTAAAGAAACTTGAAACTATGAAGGAGTCTCCAGCCTAAAGTATCTATAATAACCCAACCAGTGTTTAAGTGCCCCGTCACGTGTTTTCCTGATAAAATGTTTTATTAACACGTGTTGTAGATATACTACTCAATATAAACTCAAACTCAGAAGTTGATTTGAACATAATCCTTTATAGAAAACTATGCAGCTTAACCGGATTATTTGCTTCTTTTCTTTGATCATGAGTAAAAAAAATAAACCAGAATTAATGAATATTGAGAAGTAGTTGAACCAAGTGGTTGAACTATGTCTACGTTGTTGACCTGTTTCTCGCTGTTCATCTAATCCCAGGTTAGGCGAAGAGAATTATATCAAAGTTTGATTACGGAGCTAAAATGCAGAATTTACCGATAAAAATATTTTATGCAAATATTAATTTTTTTTTTAATTTAATATTTTCTAGTTTTAACAACGACCAATAATAATAGTCAAAGGTTATACGTTTATGCTTGCTTAGGATTTATAAAATTATCCAATATCATTCATTGCTTTAGTATACAATTACCAGAGTTTACAGGCTTAAGTAAACAATATATACAATACAATATACTTACCAGAGTTTACAGGCTTAAGCCTGGATACGATCAGAGATAAACAATACTAGGAAAATAATTGGAACAATAACAACATTAATATTATACAATTGTTAATTATTGATAAAATTGAAAATAAGTATGATAACAATTATTTACAACTACTTCACAGGGAAGTTAAGGGAATTTTACTTTACCAAGGGTTCCCGAGACCAATTTTGCTTACAAAACATCCAGAGCACAGCGAGGGGTGTTTTGTTGTCAAAGTTGGTCGAGGGAATTAAGTAAAAATTTTAATTTCCCGAAAAAGTAGTTGTATACAATTGTATCGTCTTTTGAGATAAAAATTCGCGAATTTGTCCAGGAAAACTTTTCAGAGCGGGTCGTTATTTTACTTAATTGTCCCCAGGGACCTTAAGCAACTTAATGTCCTTCTATTGAGGTAAACATGGGTCGGTAATATTGGTCAAAAAGCGGTAAAAATAATAATAATGATGACAATAACAACAAAATACTACTTCTAATATAAATAACAATAATAATGATAATAATAACAATAATAATAACGATAATAATAATAATAATAATAATAATAATAATTAATAATAATAACAATTAAAAGAATGATATTATAATTGTCAATCTTCTAAACTTTGTATATAATTGTTTATTATAGATGTTATAAAACCTGTAAAAACTATACAATTCCATCACTTTCTTCTCTGAAGTAAAGTATTATAGGTTGATAAGATAATAAAAATACCTATAAATTTTACTATGTAAACTCACAAAATGTTATAATAAATTAAAGATACAGTTTTAATGTTTTTTTGTTGTCTGAATTTATCTCAAACCAGATAATTTGTTGTTTGTCATAAATAAATTATTAAAAAGTATAATTTTCCTTGAAAATTTGAGAGAAATGGTAAAATATGCTTAATATCTAAAGAAGAACTTTGTTAAGCAAATTGCTGGATTAATTAGTTGATAGATCGATACTTTATTATATTGGATGGATCAAAAAGATTTAAGTGTAAGTAAAACCTATACCATCAATAATGATTTTCTCAATTAAAAAACAGAAAAAGGGCTTTTTGATTTTAATACAGCCTGTATCCGACTTTAGGCATGACAAGTGGATCAAAGGAATAGACCTTAGATATTTCAAACTATAAATTCTGTAAGATCAAATAATCTCAGTTTAAAATATCAACAGTTTACACAATTAGGTTGCAAAGATATTGTAATTAGATAACTTGAGTTTGTGGCAGAGATTCAATCACTTTTGAGATCCTTCAATGATCAATGCTTAATTTCTTCATAATAGCTATGATTGTTTCATCTGGTACAATTACACTGCGGGATATTGAATAAAGATTAATTTAATCTGCAGATTAATGTAAGATCGAGATCTAGCATTATCTACAATACAAGAGTTCCCAGCTCAGAGTTATTTTCAAAGATTGGAGTTTGAATTCCTTCAGATATCAATCAACGAGAATAGCACACAGATTTTTGATTGGAGACAGTCAAGGATGTGGTTCTCATATCTTTGGTCCAGATGGAATAGAGTAGCCTCTCAGTCCCCTGGAGGAAGTGTGAAGACGAGATCCGTGATTAAATCCATGTGGCTGTACAAAATGTTTACTAGACAATTTATTTTAAGTTGTAACATGTACAATGTACATTACTGTAAACTCCGGTTTATGTCAAGGACTAGTCCGACTTTTAAGCAATCTGTACAGTAGACATACAGACTATATAAGGCAAAACGGGATATTAGGAATTAGAGTATTTTTTAGAGTTATTATTTTTTAGAGTATTTATTAGAGTTATTTAGTAAACAAGGAATTAGAGTATGATTAGGTTTTCCTGAGCCAACCTTTTTGACCCGCCATATATAATAAACTCTGTGACTGTCCTTTACCAAAATATCTTCAAATTATTTTTGCATCCCAACTATTGAATAATTCTTAAATGCCAAATTTTATCAACTATAAATCGAACTGTTTTCTGTCTTTATACAGTTTCAAAGTGGTATCTTATTTATGTTAGAGATGTTTTAGTTTTGGAACTAATGTCCCCTGTATTTATTAAAATATTCAGACCAAGAAAAAGAAAATAGATGAGTGGGTCGGAACACACATGAGATCGATATTTGTCCGGTTGGTAAATTGGTTTCCAATAAACGTTTAAACAGATAAACTGATTCGGTTCAAGTTCTTGTGGGACCTAAAACGGCCCTAGAAAATGTTCATACCTGGCCGGTTAGCATCTAAAAATATAATCAAGAAAAAAAAAATTTCTTGATGGACGTTACGGATTTTGAGAAATATTATGTATTTTTTCAAACATGTCAGGGGCACATTTTCAGAGAAAACACAATTAAAAACTTTTCATACGAATACATGATTTGCGGGATTTCTAAGAAAAAGCGAAAACTACATTTATTCCTCTTAATATTGGTTATCAATGATGTGGTTGTTTAATGTTTATACAGATCTAGGTTCACGCATCTTCATTATGCATGATAAGGAAATAGTTAATAGTAATGCAACGTTCTGCCAAATCGATGTTTAGTAAGACTAAGGAGATACTCTCCGCCAAGGATGTGCTCTACTAATTAGGGACTGCATGCATAATTTTAAATAATCAACCTTAAAAACATTAAAGGATTTGAGTCCTTGCCACAAACCCTGATAACGTAATCCCTATATCTTTGGAACCCAAAATCGTAAACCTGCGATATTTTTGTGAGGTCATTTAATCTAAATTTGAAATATCATATGTTACAACCTTAGGTTGTAAAGATATAGGGCTTAGAAAATTTGAGTTTTTGGCAAGAACTCTTTTTGAGAAATAATCTTATAAACACATTCATTTCTAAACTTTTTTCATTTTATTATTCTAACAAACATTAATACAATTTTTACCAATAGATTTGATCTTTCTAGACAAAATACGAGAATTATCACAGAATTTAACAAAACAAATATAGTACAAAATAAATCAAACTTTCAAGGTTTGAATGCCCTTTTTTCCAATTTTAATTAAAGCACAGTTAGACTAGATTCCATTGCTAAAATAGAAATAAAATATGTTATAATGCCGTTTATCAAATTAGAAGCAATGTCAGGGGTAGAGGGTCAAATGAAGTGTCATGTACGCTTATGTACAGAAGTTTTTGCTTTTGTGCTCTTTTCCTTTGATATTCAGATACTAGAGATTACTGTACAACGTCGTACATATTATTATAAAAATAGTGTACAACGTATTTTATGCATAGCGTTAGCACCATGAAACACATCATCTTGTAAGAAATTCTGCTTAGCTCGCTAGTTTGTCTAGGATTTTACAATGTACACTGTACTTGTACGTACGCTCGTATCTCTAAATGCTGCTGTACACGTACATTGTTTAGTGACTTATTTACAGCGTACACTAAAGCTTGTTAGATCTTACAAGTTGTACATTGCTTTGTGACCAATGTACACTGTACGCACACTGTACGTTCAGTGAATATATATATATATATATATATATATATATAACACGTTGTACATTGCATAGTAAACCATGTAAGTGTACTGTACACTGTACAGTGCTAGATCTTACACGTTGTACATTGTTTATAGTGACCTATGTACACTGAACATTGATAGATTTAACTAAAATTGATTCTCCGAGCAATTTCTATGACGTCATTACTAGAAAAGGGGCAGCTAGGGTAGAAGTTATGGCATCCTTGACCCAGCACGCCTCTCACCAGCTGACCCATGTGTGCTGCATAGCTGTACTTAGAGGGAAAACCGGTTAGTCCAACAGATCTAAACAACATATTTCAGATATTTATAAAGATGGTGGTTATAGTTAATAAATAATGATAATTCTAAAATTTAAAAATAAGATATTTTAACTCCAATAAACCCATTGAGGTTACAAGAGATAAAAACAGACCCAATGAGATTAAAAATGATAAAAACTAACCCAATGAAATTAATAAATAAAAAAAATAAAGATACTAAAACTGACCCAATGATATTAATAATGATAAAAACTGACCCAATGATATCAATAAAGATAATAACTGACCCAATGAGATTAGTAAAGATAAAAACTGACCCAATGAAATTAGTAAAGATAAAACCTGACCCAATGAAATTAATAAAGATAGAAACTGACCCAATGAAATCAATAAAGATAATAACTGACCCAATGAGATTAATAAAGATAAAAACTCTTAGATTAAAAATAAAAACAAAAACTGACCCAATGATATTAATAAAGATAAAAACTGACCCGATGAGATTGATAAAGATTAAAAAACTGAACCAATGATATTGATAAAGATAAAAACTGACCCGATGAGATTGATAAAGATTAAAAAACTGACCCAATGATATTAATAAAAATAAAAATGGACACTCTTAGATTAAAAATAAGAAAAAAAACTGACCCAATGATATTAATAAAGATAAAAACTGGCCCGATGAGATTGATAAAGATTAAAAAACTGACCCAATGATATTAATAAAAATAAAAACTGACCCGATGAGATTGATAAAGATTAAAAAACTGACCCTCTAAGATTAAAAAAGAGATAAAAACTTACCCGATGAGATTAAAAAAATTAAAACTGACCCGATGAGATTGATGAGGTTTCTCTCTGAATCTGAGATATGTTCCCTGGATTGCAAGGAGTAAAGCTGGCACACAAGCTTAGGTAGGCAGTGTGAGGTTATAGTTCCTAGAACTGCCTTGTTATCAACCTGAAATAAAGGCCTAGAACTGCCTTGTTATCAACCTGAAATATAGTGCCTAGAACTGCCTTGTTATCAACCTGAAATATAGTGCCTAGAACTGCCTTGTTATCAACCTGAAATATAGTGCCTAGAACTGCCTTGTTATCAACGTGAAATATAATGCCTAGAACTGCCTTGTTATCAACCTGAAATATAGTGCCAAGAACTGCCTTGTTATCAACCTAAAATATAGTGCATAGAACTGCCTTTTTATCAACCTGAAATATAGTGCCGAGAACTGCTTTGTTATCAACCTGAAATTTAATTTGTACAAACTAGGAGGACAAACAAAGAAAAAGAAAGAGAGAATAAGAAAAGGATTAAAAAAACAACAAAGCAATTATAACAAAGAAAAACAAAGAAAAAACGAACGTTATCAAAATAAAACAAAGTTGAAAATGAAGTTAAAATAATAATGAAAGAAAAAATTTGCAAAATTAGTTGAAAAAAAATGTAAAAGAAAAATTATGTGTTATAAATGATGATGTTGAATACTACATATTTCGTTTTAATTATAAGATTTTGCTAAGGATTAAATTGTGCGGCGCCCATTATTGACTTTTGCAAGATTTCACAATTAATGAAAGACGGAAGTCGACAATCTGTCCATCTTTTTTGGTTACCACGTCATATCTCACCTTCTGATCCTGTTGTCCCTGGTACTGCAGAGTAGTATGCTGAGTAGGTTGGCCGGCCCCTGCAGCTGGTTTACACCAACCGGTCAGCTGACCGACGATTTGTACACCGGTCTCTGTCAACAGGAATACAAGGAAGAAAACCGCCAAGACTCTGCCCCCCTCCAACATTCTACATTAAAAATGAACTAGACAAAATAAGATTACAAACAAAAATGTAATTAGTTAAAAAAATTGAAGTTTCGCCTTGTTGATTATTTGGTATGCCGTATTCAATATTCATATATTCTAAAAAAATATCCTTATCTTGGAAGATTAATATGAACATAAAATTCAATTTTTTATCTTTCCCTAAATTTTGAACTTTAAAGAGCAAATCTTATGCAAAAAGTTTTTATATAAATTGATTATTTTTTTCCCAAAACCACATTAAAAATTATTTTAGACAAACTTAAAAATTATGTTAAAAACGGCGAGAACAAAGAATCTATATTTATTAATAGATTAATTGTAAACTTTAGTCAAAGAACCACTGAACTGCGGACATTAGCATCTTTATCCTTTGAGACTTATTCCTTGATAAAGCAAGTGACATTAAGTTTCTGAAATAAGTGTGCAGACTGCAGTCATTTAGAGGTAGTAGTTCCATGTATACTTCTCTTATCTAAAAACCTTATGTTTCGCTCTAAGAAAACTTCTAACTCTTTTGATAAACTCAAGTTTTCTAATCCCTTTTTCTTTGCAATCTGATGGTTTAAACCTTTGATATTTCAAAGTTGGACTATTTTATCTACAACACTTTGTTGCAAAAATAAAGGGATTAGAAAATCAGAGTTTGTGTCAGAATGCAGAGTGGAGAAAGCTATGGGGGTTATTAAACTACAGTTTAAGACAAGTGTTCAGTTCCCTAGTTTTACAAAATCATTGTTCCTTGAAGAAAAGCGATTGCCATTACTCGACATTTTATAATTGATTTCATTTCAAATTGTAGAGAAAAAACCTCTAACCTGAATCTCTCCGGGTTCAAGAAATCACTGATAGAACTGCATCATTTCAAGAAACCAATTAGTTAAGTTCCACGTTCTTCTCTTTCATTGGATTATCCCAACATTCTTCTGTAAAAAAATACATATAAATTAGTTTTTGATAGAGCGTGTGAAATATGCGTAGAGTTCTCTGGCGCATAAATCCTGTTATGGAAGTCATTGACGCAATTGTATAATGTTGTAACTGTAAAAAAAGACCAAGCAGCTAATTTAATAATAAACTTTATGAGTTTATATAACTGTTACTCAAGAGTTTCATTTCTTAAACCAGATTTATAGATGGATGGTTTTGAACTTGCTTACCAAGATTTAGAACTGTTTACACAAGATTTATTACTTGTTTACACAAGATTTAGAACTTGTTTACACAAGATTTAGAACTTGTTTACACAAGATTTAGAACTTGCTTACACAATATTTAGAACTTGTTTATACAAGATTTGTTTAAACTATATTTCTAGTTTGTGTATACAAAATAACCTGTAATATCACACAAACTATGAAATAAAGTAAATATAGATAAATATAAGTAAATATGTGTGTAAAGCTGAACTGTTTACTGAACAGCTGAGAACCTCGGATAATCCATCCATTCATGCATTTATCAACTTTCAATCCCTCCATCCTTACAATTCATACATGAAGGTAGAACATTTTTGTCAGGTTCAGTGAGAAACAGAAAACAATGGAATTATCGTCTTCTTTTTCATTTTATAACAAATGTCGCTTAGGATTTTTAATGTGCAATTTCACAAAACAAAATGTCCTGAGATATATCAGTTGCAATAATTCAGTATTACAAAATCCTTACCGACATTTAGATAGAATAACAAAGAAGATATTCTTTTTACAGTTTTATGGTTTTTCACTGTTTATCGGTTTATACTGTACTACACCTGTGTATAGTGCATGTATTGTATACTATAATATAATATATGCAATAATGCAAAAACAAGTTCGCAAACTTCAGTCTGCATCTGCCATTTATTTTTTCTAATCAGAAACATTTGCACTCATTCATTTGACTTAATTTTAGTTCCACTGTTTTTTTTTGTAAACTTACTTCTTACCAAGATCTTATGTTTCTTTCCTATACTTCCTCTCATCCTAGTTCTCCTGGTCTTATCCTAGTTCTCCGGTTTTATCCTGGTTCTCCTGGTCTTATCCTAGTTCTCCTGGTCTTATTCTAGTTCTCCTGGTCTTATCCTAGTTCTCCTGATCTTATATTGGTTCTCCTGATCTTATCCTAGCTCTCCTGTTATTATCCTTGTTCTCCTGGTCTTATCCTAGTTCTCCTGGTCTTATCCTAGTTCTCCTGGTCTTATTCTAGTTCTCCTGGTCTTATTCTAGTTCTCCTGGTCTTATTCTAGTTCTCCTGGTCTTATTCTAGTTCTCCTGGTCTTATCCTATTTCTCTTGATCTTATCCTAGTTCTCCTGGTCTTATCCTAGTTCTCCTGATCTTATCCTAGTTCTTCTGGTCTTATCCTAGTTCTCCTGATCTTATCCTAGTTCTTCTGGTCTTATCCTAGTTCCCCTGATCTTATCCTAGTTCTCCTGAGCTGAGAACTTTAGAATGGGATATCCTTAATCCCGACCGGTTAATTAAACTGGAGATTAATAACAAGAGGAGAACAAGCATTATTTAATCTGGAGATTAAGAAAAAGTTCCCAGCTCTGGTCTCATCCTAGTTCTTCTTGTATCTGTTCAAGAAGTTCAAGTGTCCCAACTTAAGATCATTTTACTTTTTCCTATCCGTTACTTTTTTCTTCCTTTTCCTATCCGTTACTTTATTTCTCCCTTTTCCTATTCTCCTATCTGTTACTTTATTTATCCTTTTTCCTATTCTCCTATCCATTACTTTATTTCTCCCTTTTCCTATTCTCCTATCTGTTACTTTATTTATCCTTTTTCCTATTCTCCTATCCATTACTTTATTTCTCCCTTTTCCTATTCTCCTATCCATTACTTTATTTCTCCCTTTTCCTATTCTCCTATCCGTTACTTTATTTATCCCTTTTCCTATTCTCCTATCCGTTACTTTATTTTTCCCTTTTCCTATTCTCCTATCCGTTACTTATTTCTCCCTTTTCCTATTCTCCTATTCATTACTTTATTTCTCCCTTTTCCTATTCTCCTATCCATTACTTTATTTCTCCCTTTTCCTATTCTCCTATCCATTACTTTATTTCTCCCTTTTCCTATTCTCCTCTTTCAGATTTTAAACTCTTTTCCTTTATCTCATATTCCGCTTTGATATTCTCAATTGTTATTAACTATGTATTTCACCGAAATAAAACTTTCCGTCTCATAGGAACTCAAAAATAATATATAATAATAATATAATAATTATATATGTAACATATGTTCAGCATAAATCACTCTCAAATGTTTGGTTTGTGTAATGGTTGACTGTCTACTGAACAAGTCACAACGGTTTATCTATCTATCCTTATGCTTGTATCTATCTATCCTTCTATCTGATATCCTTCCACTTCCTGGGTTTATCATTCTTGCAGTTTATCCGACCTTGAATTCCCGCCTGTGTTCACAGAAGGCAGATAGATAGGCAGCTGGAACTTTTAAAAGAAGACAGTTATAAAAGGTTAAGGCAGATAGATGGGCAGCTGGGAACTTTTAAAAGCAGGCAGTTATAAAGATTAAGGCAGATAGATAGGCAGCAAGGAACTTTTAAAAGCAGGCAGTTATAAAAGATTCAGGCAGATAGATAAGCAGCCGGAACTTTTTAAAAGAAGGCAGTTATAAAAGGTTACGGCAGATAGATAGGCAGCTGGGAAATTTTAAAGGCAGGCAGTTATAAATATTAATGCAGATAGATAGGCAGCTGGAAACTTTTTAAGGCAGGCAATTACATAGATTAAGGCAGGAAAAGCAGCAAGGAACTGTTAAAAGCAGACAATTATGGTCTAAAAACAAAAACTGTTAAAACAGATTAAGATAAAAAGGTAAATATATAGGCTAAGGCAGATATTAAGATGAAGGCATATAGAAAGATGAAGGCATATATTAAGATAAAGGACAGATATTAAGATGAAGGCAGATATTAAGATGAAGGCAGATAGAATGATGAAGTCAGATAGAAAGACAACTGGGAACTGTTAAAAGCAGTTGAAAGATGTAGAAAGGCAAATATATAAGGGCCAGATAGGTTGATGAAGGCAGATAGGCAGGCCGCTGGAAACTAGCAGATGAAAAGGCAAATATTAAGGCTAAGACAGATATGGTTGATGAAGGTAGGCAGATAGGCAGCACGGGACATTAAAAAGCAGATAGATATAAAGATAAAAAGCAAATTTTATAAACCTAGACCCAGACAGAGATAAAGTTGTCGAAATGTGTGCAAATGGAAAATAATTAGGCTTGGGCAGAGATGCATTTTTAGTAAATGAACAAACTTATGTATGGGTTACCCACGAAGGATGAGACTACAGAGACGATGTATATCTATTCTGTTTTTTTCCACATTTTTAATGTTCCAGGAACTGTTAACAATAAAAATATTTATTCTTTTCGAAATCATTTATTATAACATTAAAAACTACTATATTTGAGGCAGAAACTCAAATTAAACCTTTAGATCGTTCAATTTAAAGCGTTGTATGGTCGTGATAAAAGTCTCATGTTTTTTGGGTAATCATGAGCGTAGCCCAAGCGGTTATCAAAGAATCCCGAGGTTCTTAAAGGGAGTGTTCACGAAAAATGATAGGGGGTATAGGCTTACGGCGAAAAATAAACGCTTTTGATCGCTTGATATTTCATAATATTTTTTATTTTTTTTATGATCTGTTACTTTTGAAAACAATTAGTCCTGTTTCGAGGATTTTTTTATTATGAAGACGACATTTTCATATTTTCCAGGAATGTTCGAAAATTCAGCGCCAGCGAAATATTATTTTAAAAAACTAAATCAAAACTATTATGAGATATTAACTATATACGAATGCGTCGAAAAAAGATCGATGACTATTGTTTGTAGTATCTGAATGATTTGTTTGGAATTAAATTGATTATTTTACGATCCGAGTCGTATATTGCAACTTTCTGAAATTGTATGGACGCTACGTTCTTTAGCATGAGACGTTTTCAACAATTTTCTCCATATAGACGCAACAGATAGAAGAAAGATTAGTAGTAGCGATTAAAAGCGCTTATTTTTCGCCGGAAGCCTATACCCCCTTTCATTTTTCACGAACACTCCCTTTAAGTGTGCAACAGTTTTCATTAAATTTTGCTTATCTAAAAATATATTTCTGCAGGTCCAAGTTCAAACCAGACCAGCTTGTTTCAAAACAATGTTTATTGTTTAAAACAAACAACTTGTTGTGCAATTTTGGAAAAAATCAGTTACAAATTTTTTTTAATCAGCAACATTTCATGACAAAAATCACTGCAATATGGTTACTTCTGTGAAAGAATATTACCTTTTTAACGCACGTAGAGACGTAGTTAGGTCACTTAAAACTGTGGAATAAGAAGACCGGGCTGTTGGACTCAAGTTATGATATGGTCCAATGAATATATCGTAATTAATATGTAGATTTTAAAGCAAAAAGCTATATTTTGTTTAAAATAACAAGAAATACATATTTAAATTGCTTAAATATCGTCTTCCAATCCCACAGTTGTATAGATCTCTCTGTATTCAAACCCTTCTCTGAAAAATGTTCAACTAAACGACAAATAAAAAATATTGGAATATCTGATTTATGATAAAAATTCCAATTTAATATAAATAAATGACAGAAATGAAAATAGAAATATCGGAAATATTATTTTACTATAATTCAAATTTTGGAAATGCAAAAGACAGCGAAATATTGTAGGCAAAGGTCGAATATGTTACGAATTAATGCTAAAAATACATTCACTATTGAATTGACATAAAAAAACAACATGTGTAATTGGAACGCGACGTCTACAATAAGCATATATTTATAAGGAAAGTAACAAAAAAATTGTTGCACATTTGTTGCACGAAACATGACTGTTAATAAATAGTTTGAATGTCGTCTTACATATACTTCATTAGATATTAAAGGCTTTTTGCAGTTTATTTCGTTAAAGATCTTTTGCTCAAATATATTTTACTTTGAAATCAATTTTACTACAGTGAAACCCTTAATAACGAATACATCGAAAGAATTTATCAAATGTCGTCTTGACAATTTTTCAAATGAGTTTTATACTATATTACGTAAATTTCAGTATTTGCGAAAATAAATAGATAGCCATGAATAAGCAGGAACAGTTTTAAAGAGTTCCATATAATCATTTAATTAAAAAACTAAATATTTGCAACATTCCATTATAAGAAGGTGGAGAATACGACATTTGATGAATTCTTTCGATGTATTCGTTATTAAGGGTTTCACTGTATAATATGACTCCCATAAAATATTCTTTGGTATCAATCAACTTAACAAATTATGGAAGAAGACATTCTAAACTATTCACCAACTGTCATGTTTCGTGCGAACATTGGAACGACAATAAGCATAAATTTATAAGAAAATTCGAAAATTTGTTGCGCATGAATTTGAGTTTTTTTAAGTGTAAGTTCAGATTTTCCGAAAAAAAAGAAGACGACATTCAGCTCTTCTCAAATTTACGGGCTTATACACAAGCGAAACAGTTAATGATATTAAAGCTTAAGCTTTCGGTATAATGTGGAGCCAATTTAGATTTAACTTTTTTCATAGAAAACGCCAACCAGTTATATAACATGTTATACAGTACTAGGACGACATTTAAAGTTTTCGTTAGGGGAGACGAGAGGTAAGGAGTATATATTTAAACTCACCATTCCTACCATTATTGTTTTTTATATCAAACAAAATAAATGCTTCACTGTTTTTGAATTTGAAAACTTTAATGGTTTAAAAATTTTGAAGGTTTGTATGTTTAGAAAGATTTTCAAGATTTAATTGTTTAGAAGGTTCGGAAGGTTTAGAAAAGAGGGAATGTTTTGATGGTCTTGATTATTTTCATGTTTAGACAGGATTGAATGTTTTAAAGATTTTGTTAATGTATTTTAAGGTTGTAATGGTTTTCAAGGTTTTTAAGGTTTTCAAGTTTATCCAGGTTTAAATGTTTTGAAGGATGAAGGCTTTGAAGGGTTTAAAGGTTGTGAAGGTTTCGAAGGGTTTGCAGGGTTTGAAGGTTTTGAAGTTTTTTAAGGTTGGTAAGGTTTTATAGGTGTTAAAGGTTGTGCAGGCTTTGAAGGTTGTGAAGGTTTGAAAGTTTTGAAGGTTTTGAAGTTTTCGAAGGTTGTGAATATTTTAAAGGTTTTTCAGATTTTCAGGTTTCGGTTTTCAATTCTTTTAAAGCTTTTATATTAAGTGTTTTGAAACTTGTGAATGTTTGGAAGGGTTTAGAAAAAGTTTTTTGAAACTTGTAAAGGTTTTGAAAGGTTTAGAATTAGTGCTTTGATACTTGTAAAGGTTTTAAAGGGTTTTAGAATAAGTGTTTTGATACTTGTTAAGGTTTTGATGGTTTTATCATTAGTGTTTTGGAACAATTGTGAATGTTTTGAAGGGTTTAGAATAAGTCCATAAACTGCCTAACAAGGGTCAAATTTAAGAAAGAATAAGTTTAAACGTAATTTGAGTGTAAATGTTTAGCTTTGACCATGTAACAACTAACTATATATTGGAAACTCAACCTAGCTATGTTGCCAGTTTTTTCAAGAACATTTTCTCAAATTCCGTTAAAAATGAAAAAGCCAATTGTGTCAAAATTAATTGTAAATTCTTTTTTTGAGCATTGTTTAATGATGGTAATAATAATAACTGCAATAATATAAAAATTATGCAAATAAAACTCTCATGAATTGACTCTTTTTTACAAACTCAAGTTTTCTGATCCATATATCTTTGCAATTTGATGGTGTAAACCTTTGGCATTTAAATTTTAGATTATTTGATCGAACAGAATTCATAGTTTGAAATATCTAAGGTCTACGACAAAGAGATAGAGATTAAAAAATCTGAGTTTTTGACTAAGACTACTCTAAGAAATTTAAAATTTTCATCTAATAAAATTTGATGTCAGTGCTCCAACCAATTTTGTTAGATGAAAATTTGAAACTTCATAGAGTGAGATCAATTCCTTTCAAATCTATTTTTACTCGATCTTTTTTGTTCATCTTTAAACTTAATTAAAAACTAACTCTGAGAAATGCAAAGATTCAAATCAATGTTAAAATTTATATTTTAAGTTTAAAAAAAATCAAAATGGCGGAACAGCAAAATTTGATAAATCTGCGAAATAATTTAATAGAATCCTTATTTTTATTCTTTACTTTCACCTTCACGACCCCTTTCAGTCGGTAACTCCCTTAAACGTTCTTAATATATGAGAAAACATCAAAAAATGATTGTTGGTAAACTTTTTTAGAACAGGATTCATTATGCAATATAAAAAACCGGGCTTTACAACTGAAAATAATTTGAGAGAATCAAATTAACTACAGGGTGTCCCACGAAACATGACAGTTGGTGAATAGTCTTGAATGTCTTCTTTCATCCATATACTGTATTATATTAGAGACTTTTTGCAGTTTATTTAGTTTAAAAAACTTACTCAAATATATTTTAGTTAGAAATCAATTTTACAATAATATGGATGTCATAAAATATTTACTATTATTCTCTTTGGTAACAAACAGCTTGATATATTATGGAAGAAGACAATTTTAAACTATTCACCAACTGTCATGTTTCGTGGTTCACACTGTGTATAATAAATTATGAGCTAGAAAAAAGCTTCTCTTTTTACGTTTGTGCAAATGAGAACTTTAGATTTTTATTAAACAAAATGTTTTCTTCTATTTGCAAATCATCTTATCATTATGTAATACTGAAATGCAATTAATATTAAAATGTTTTTGTAAATTCAAAATGAAACAAACGGTGTTTAAAGTTTTGTAAGCAAAAGTTTAAAAACAAAAGCTAAACGATGAGAACCACATTTAAAACTTAGTTCGCGCTGAAAAATGTTTAAAACTTTTGAATGTAGTTTTTACAAATACTGACTATTATGACATTAAAACACTATTCAGTTTATCTCTTTTAAAAATATATTTTCTCACATATTCTGTTGAAAACCAGACTTAATATTTCTAGTTTAAAATATTATAAAATATCTGTAGAAAACCGTCTGTTGTTAGTTCAACTGTTTGTCCTAATCCCTGCAGGGAGTTAGATTTACAACGTTGTTATTTTATTGCAGGGATTGATTACTCTGTTTGTCCGTCTATCCAGGTCTTGGAAACCTGCTCTGCATCCGTACTAAACCACCCAGCCAAACCTCCAGATAGTATTCAAGTAAACCCAGCCAACCCCCCAGATAGTATTCCACTAAACCCATCCCAACCTCCCAGATAGTATTCCACTAAACCCAGCCAAACCTCCAGATAGTATTTAACTAAACCCAGCCAACCTCCCAGATAGTATTCAACTAAACCCAGCCATCCTCCAGATAGTATTCAACTAAACCCAGCCAACCCTCCAGATGTATTCAACTAAACCCAGCCAACCCTCCAGATAGTATTCAACTAAACCCAGCCAACCCTCCAGATGTATTCAACTAAACCCAGCCAACCCTACAGATAGTATTCAACTAAACCCAGCCAACCCTCCAGATAGTATTCAACTAAACCTAGCCAATCCCGTCAGATGACAACTGATTCCAGCCAAAAGTCAATATAAGTGTGTCTTTAATAAACTATCTGATGAGATGGCAACACTTAATTTCCATGTTTATTGGAACACCCTGTTTTCTGGTATAGCGTGCCTAATAGTTTTTAAACCATTATCCTATCTCTTCCTAGACTAAATTTTCTTCATGATCAGTCTGGTAAAAACTCTGCAAATTGCACTGTATCCAAAACAAGTGCAACATATTTGCCGGGGCCTGCACGGAAAAGGCGGTATTAAACAGTTTATAATCAACCAAGTTTTGGCAGTTTATAAAACGTCAATCAAAGTCAACTAAAACGTTTTAAACGTCTCAAGATCTTATATTTAGAGGCGGAACCTAAAATATCCCGGGTATACATCGTAACTAGATTTATTTTAACAATATTTACAGCAGATTTTTTACAGAATGTATGTAAACCGTTTACACATATTAATGAAGTTTTCGTGTATTCACTTTTCAGTCTTAAGCTCAAGTTTAAAGGTTTCTGTCTGAATGAATTCTCCGTATTCTCCTTCTCTCTCCCGATTAAGTTTATCGGCTCATTCTTCGATTCCTCCACAGTTTCTGCAGATCCTCACTGATCTCATCAACATCATTGGTTTCACTGGAATCACTAAAAGAATTTACTGGGACGGAGTCTACCAGATTTGTCTGCTCCAGGTTCTCTATAGAGCTTCTGCTTTGCTCCAGGCTCTCTAAAGAGCTGCTACTTTGCTCTAGGTTTTTGAAAGAACTCCTGCTCTGCTCTAGAATATCAACATCAGCAGTCTCATCTGAAAAAAATGATAATCAGGCGGTTGACAAAAATTATTATTAAGGGCTTTATTTACCCTATTTCAACAAATTCTCTAAGGAGGTTTATTCATTTGGAAGGCCTTCTCAGAAGAGATCTGGGAAATTTCGTTTTTGCATGCTTTTGTTCTTCCCTTTTCTAGGACGTACAAGAAAAAGAAAAAGGTCGGATTTAGAAGAGGCTAGTTTATATGAATAGATTATACCTTGTCCAAACTGTAGAACAATCCTTCCCGGCTCATCTACTAACTTGAGATTAAACAGTAGGCTGGATTCAGACTGCTGACCCAGTTGTTGTCGTTGCTGCTGTTGCAACTGCTCCTCTATCTGTTGTCCAAACTGTGTTAGCTGTTGTTGATCCAGTTCCAGCTGTAATAGGGTCGGAGCATCTGTATTGAGCTGTTGAAGATGTCGAACTACGAGCTCTACGGAGATACAGAGGATAGAGATGAGGGAGAAGGATGCAATCACGAGGAGCAAGGAGAGTCTCAATCTGAGAGAAGGATCACGGAGAGGATAAGGAAGAATGTTTATAGGACGGATAGTCCAGGTTCCAACAGGAGGAGAAGAAGGTGTGTCTTCCAAACGATCCTCCGGAATTGAGAGAAGGGTGGCAGTGTCCTTACAAGGAGACATTTTCAGAAACTAGCAAAAACCCGCGAGCTTGCAGAAGAGGAGATGTGAAACGGTCGATGTCCAGAAGAGAACTAAAGTCTGAATGAGTTTCTGGGACCGCTGGCTCTGCTCCAGGTTTGGGGGGTACCAGGGAGGGGAGGGGGAAGGATGGACACTACTTGTATAGTGATTGGGGAGAGGGGGAGGGGAATAGGGTGCGAGAAAGGGGTGCTTTCAAATCCTAGAATCCGGGGTAAACATTGTTTTAAAAGGGTAAAAAATTAGTTTCCGGATTTTTTCTTCCTTTCTCTTTTTGTTTGTAGTTGTTGTAATTTTCACTTTAAATCAAACTACCCTCCCCCCCCGCACCTCACTGCTACAATCGCCCCCCCTCCCCTTTTTGTGTCCATAGAAATAGGATTAAGTCCCGGGTACAGAGAGAAGAACCAAGACCCATAATTCAATCCCGGTGTGAACCCCTAATTAAACTCAAGTACACAGTACAACATGTATTTATACAAGGGGAGTAAATAGTACACCATGTATTTTGTTCAAGGGGAGTACACGGTACAACATGCATTTTATTCAAGGGGAGTCAACAGTACAGCATGTATTTATACAAAGGGAGTAAATAGTACACCATGTATTTTATTCAAGGGGAGTACACAGTACAACATATGTATTTATGCAAGGGGAGTACACAGTACAACATGTATTTATACAAGGGGAGTACACAGTACAACATGTATTTATACAAGGGGAGTACACAGTACAACATATATTTATACAATGGGAGTCCACAGTACAACATGCATTTATACAAGGGGATTAAATAGCACACCATGTATCTATACAATAGGAGTATACAGTACACCATTTTATCTAAACTAGAGGAGTACACAGTACACCATGTATCTATACAAGGGGAGTACAAAGTACAACATATATTTATACAAGGGGAGTGCGCAGTACACCATGTATTTATACAAGGGGATTACATAGTACACCATGTATTTATACAAGGGGATTACATAGTACACCATGTATTTAAACAAGAAGAGTAAACAGTACATTATTGTATCTAAACTAGAGTGGTACACAGTACACCAAGGATAATAAGTACCAGAGTACTTACACCTCGCATTTTTAAGGATCGTAAACTCAGTAAACACATATAAATAAAGTACAGTACTATATTTATAATTAGTACACATAAAATATGGGTTATAACTTATAAGGCTTCCGCTTATCAAGCAAATTCGGCATATATATATTGGCGATCAATATGCGTTCAAATTGCAATATGCTATACTTCACATAATAGCTTGGGTACCCAGATTTGTCTGGAAATCTCTTTACTCCTCTTACCTATACATACAGGCATTACAATCAAAATCCAGAATATTTTGCTTTATCAGCACTATCCTTGTATCTCAAGGTAGGGTTCTGGATAGGGATCCAGGTTGGGGTATCTTATCTTGTATACAAGAATAGTACTATCCTTGTATCTCTAGGTAAGGTTCTGGATAGGGATACAGGTTGGGGTATCTTATTTTGTATACAAGGATAGTACTATCCTTATATCTCTAGGTAGGGTTCTGGATAGGGATCCAGGTTGGGGTATCTTATCTTGTATACAAGGATAGTACTATCCTTATATCTCTAGGTAGGGTTCTGGATAGGGATCCAGGTTGGGGTATCTTATTTTGTATACAACGATATTACTATCCTTATATCTCTAGGTAGGGTTCTGGATAGGGATTCAGGTTGGGGTATCTTATCTTGTATACAAGGATAGTACTATTCTTATATCTCTAGGTAGGGTTCTGGATAGGGATCCAGGTTGGGGTTTCTTATCTTGTATACAAGGATAGTACTATCCTTGTATCTCTAGGTAGGGTTCTGGATAGGGTTCCAGGTTGGGGTATCTTATCTTGTATACAAGGATAGTACTATCCTTATATCTCTATGTAGGGTTCTGGATAGGGATTCAGGTTGGGGTATCTTATCTTGTATACAAGGAAAGAACTATCCTTGTATCTCTAAGTTGGGGTTCTGGATAGGGATCCAGGTTGGGTATCTTATCTTGTATACAAGGTTGAGGAATGTCGGAGCGAGGTGCTACAAATTAAAAATGCTCCAGGCGTCATTGACCAACTCAATCCCCCCCCCCTCATTCTTTAACCTTCCCCTACCCCCGGTACCGATTCTTTAACGGCCCCCTCCCCCAGGTTAACACCAGCTAGGGGGGAGAGATTTGTAGGAGGGGCGGGCAAAGTCGTAAATTTTTCCCGAAGCGGACAGTTTTATTTCCCACCTTAGCCGTAGAAACTTAAGCATTCACTTTTAGTCAAGCATGTGGGGCTTACCGGACCAAAATAATGGTGTTGGACGGAGGGGGGGGGGGGCAGTTTACACCCCTGAATATTAGATGAATTCATGCAACCTAAATTCCATCTTGATTGTAGAATTGTTTAATGTTCACCAGCTCCTCAAGTCAGGAGTGTTCAAAAATAATTTATTGAAAAGAAAAATTAAACCTGATTAAACATGATTAAAACAGTTTTAATTGCACGCAGGATTTAAATCTTTTATATTTTCAATAATAACTCCTATTTTTAACGAGCTATGAGAAGAATAAAAATGTTTTGAATTTCTAATACAGGGTGTTCCAGGAAACATGACAGTTGTAAATAGTTTTGAATGTTGTTTTCCATACACTGTCTTAGATATTAAAGGCTGTTTGCAGTTTATTTCGTTTAAAAAATCTTTTGCTCAAGTTTATTTTCCTTTGAAATGAATTTTACTATAATATGACTTCTATATAATATTTTTATTACTGTCTTTGGTATTAAACAACTTAACAAATTATGGAAGAAGATACTCTAAACTCTTCACCAACTGTCATGTCATGCATCTTTTGAAAACATTTTTTAAAAACTTGAAACTTTGAAAGATCTCTTAACTATCAACTTGGCATTCTCAAAATGTGCTCATTTCAGTATTTACCATCAAGCTCTCTTCTTAAGATGTGGAATAACCTGCCTCTTGACTCAAAAAGAAGCAACTCTCTAAGTATATTTAGAAATAGACTACTAAATTCTCTTTTTGAAAATTACATTACAATGTGTTATGAACAGAATTGCTATTCATGAAAACTAATTAGATATGTTTTAATATGCTTTCATATTCGTTGTGTACATGTCAGAAAATTACTTTAAACTAGTTATTCTAATTAATGTATAACCTATTTTGCATAAGATAAAATCGCACCCTGATCTCTAATAGTTCTCCTTAAATCTATTTAATTTAAATGTTTTGTTTTCATTATTGAAATTAGGTGGAAAAAATAATCAAAACAGCCAAGAACTATTTTCCACCTAATTGCTTTATACTTGTACTGTTAATATAATCATCAATTTGTAATTGTAAACTCGTTCTGTACACAGATACATGTATTTTAGCAATAAACGTTATCTGTCTATCTATCTATCTATGTTTGGTGGGACACCCTGTATATAATCGGATAAATGTGTGTAAAATCAAAACTAGAGAAGCAAGAAGGTTACAAAATCCTACCAGTAATGTAGCATTTATTTTACCTTCTCCTTAGAGTACTTTCTTAAACATTCTACCATAGGTAGAACCATAGTCACACTATGGTCTTTCAATTTCAACACTTTTGATGCTTTGACCGTGTAGTAAAGCATCCAAAGTGTAATTTGAAAGCATCATAATCAACATTTGAAAGCATCATAAGCAAGGAGCAATCAAATTTGATGCCTTAATCACTTTTTTTAAAGAAAATATTAACTTCCCAGTCAAATTATGACTTCATAAGCTAAGAATTAGGAAGCATTGTTTTTCCCTGTGTCCTGCTCTGCATCCGTACTAAACCACCCAGCCAAACCTCCAGATAGTATTCAAGTAAACCCAGCCAACCCCCCAGATAGTATTCCACTAAACCCAGCCAAACCTCCAGATAGTATTTAACTAAACCCAGCCAACCTCCCAGATAGTATTCAACTAAACCCAGCCAACCCCCCAGATAGTATTCAACTAAACCCAGCCACTTTGACCCCTAGAAGTATGAGTTCGCAGACTGTACAATTCTTGGTGATTTTGCGTACATAAGCTATCTATGTTTATTTATTTATCTATGGTTAAAATGTTCTTAAACTTATGAAGGTTGGTTTTGAAGGGTTTAAATGTGGGGAATTGTAATTTTAGTAAAAATGTATCTACCATACCAATCTTCTCCCCTGCAGCCAACCAATCTGTATTGAATGAATAGGTGGCTGGCAGGGGGCTCAGACTATTCAGGGTCTCCGAGACGGGAGGAAGGGAGGGATGGGGGGCATTGATTTTTTATAGCATGTATATCCAGAATGGGGTTTAAATATGAAATACATTGCGTAGTGCGTATCATTTTCGTGTTTCTATTCTGGACAAATGCAGTAACATTTACTTCAAAGCTATGAGTGTTTTTAGATATCACTTATCTATAGTCGCTTAAAATATTTTATTTCCGTTTAGAAATCTTTGCTCAAATTTTTTTCTTTAAAAACTCCTTACATATACTTCATTAGATATTAAAGGCTTTTTGAGATTTCCGCAGCTTGGGTTATGTTAGGTTACACAAAGCATCACAAATTACATGTGAAAGCATCATAATTGTCCTAATTGATAAAAAATAGTTACGCTTCACCAGAGCAGTGTAGATAGATAGATACGACATATAGTTGTACCTTTGGTAACATGAATAAGAAATTGGCCACTTATGTCTATAGTTATATATACTGTACTTGAAAAGTTAACAACATATACAAATATATCTGATAAGCAAAACACAGATAATTTCCCATTTTATTGCTGTACAAATTGTTTCGTGTTTCAAACATCTCCTCGGCAGTTGGATTAAAACATTTTAATATTTATATATAATAACTACAATATCAATTAGATTTCAATAATGGAGTGTATAGATAATGGTTTAATATTTATATATAATAACTACAATATCAATTAGATTTCAATAATGGAGTGTATAGATAATGGTTTAATGTTTGATACATATTTTCTCTGAGGTTGCAAAGTGCATACCAGCGTTGCGGGAGATAATTTAACAATTTGTTGAAAACAATAATATTTTCACACAAATCAAACATACTCATGCACTTCAAGATACAGGGTGT